TGGAAAAAAGGGGAGGATGGGATAGGGGAGGGGAGAATGGGGGGTAATTAGGTTTGGTCTGAGGAAGAAGACCGACAGGGCTAATTCTGCAGACCAAGAGCCTCTTCACCACGCCAAGGAGCCCCCCTTGAAGAGGTATCCCAGTCCAGTTGTTGGAAAATAAGGATTCATGTGCAGGACATTAAAGGGTTTATCTTATGGCTATGTCTTCAGGTACTAAGTTTTAATATACAAGCTATGATTTGAGAATAGTGTTGCTTTAAACTTGGTTGCTTATAGATTAGGTTAGCATCGTGCCAACATACAAGATATTCCTGCGCATAACAAGCTGCAGGTGTATTTGTTCATAAATGTTTGTGGACAGGATTCTTCCAGGTTTCCTTGGCACACTGCTCACAGGGAATGGTGTATACTCCTATTTTTTTTAGACTAACTGGGGACTTTCTTGGTTAGATCAACTGAAGCTGTTGCCTACATCTAACCTCCTGACAATATATAGGCCACTAGTGGCCTACAACTCACCTCCTGACAGTATATAGGCCACTACTGGCCTACAAGGCTCCATACTGTCACTTCAACTTCACATTGTTTCAGACTATAGAACAAATACTTTCCTCCAGGCTGAGGGACTGACCACCTCAAAACTATGTCTTCAAGGGCGATGGACTGATTACATTGTCTTCACATCTCTTCTGCTTCAACTAACTTTTCTGTACTAGACCGAAGAAGCCTACTGTGTAGGCGAAACGTTTCATAATAAAGATACCTAACTATTGCATGTCTTACCTAGCAACCTGTTGGTATTTTATACCATATTATTATTCAATCCTGGATAAAATGAGAGGTGGGAGGACTGAAAATGAGTAAATGCTTGCTGAATATACAAGATGCATTTCTTCTTCCAAGAACTCTGGGTTAGTTATATGTAGAGCCTGCTGGAAAAATCCTATGACCACCCTGCAAATAGTGAAAGAATTGTGATGGGGAAAACAAATGTGCAAGCACATTCTTTTAGGACAAAATATCCATGGGTGTTCTGCAGTGTCAAGAAAGGGAACCTTATTTTTAATTTCTGGTTCAAGTGTAAATTTGGTTGGTTCTATGTTGAGTGCAAGTTTAGATGTCTAGGGGAGAGGGCTAGATTACATTAAGAAGTCGTGTGGTATCCAGGATTATGAAACTAAAGTCTTCAGTTTCCAGATTTTCCATGAAGAACATGGACAGAACAGTGCCTTTAAAAGAATTATCCATGGCCAAGCAAGAACACTGTTTGAAAAACTATTCTTTAAAGTAGAATGAGTTTGACACATAGGTCCTCCAAAAAAATGAAGTCAAGGTAGGGCTAAGGAAGATTGTATCTGTCAACATCATGAGAAACACAGTGTCCTTTGATGTTACTTCCCTCTTTACTAATATTCCCATTAACTCAATCATTGATATTTGCCACAGAAAGATCAATGAACACAATCTTTCGCCCTGTATATAGGAGTACAAAACTTATGACGTTTCGGTCCAAGTCAGACTGAAACGTCGTCATAAGTTTCATTTTCCTAAGTGCGTGTTATTTGTGCATTGTTCAAGTTGTGGTATGTTGCCTTTAAATTTTTTTGCTCTACCTTAACTTCACAGCCTTGGTGAACCTGTGCATCAGCTACAACTTTTGCTTGAGGAACATAAGAAAGAAGGAACACTGCAGCAGGCCTACTGGCCCATGTGAAGCAGGTCCAATTCTCCCACCAGCTTAAACCAATGTCTTAACCTAGTCAGGTCAGTCAGTCACAGTCACTTAAGAGAGGAGCACGGCATCTGACCTAGTAGCACAAGCTAGTCAGGTCCAACTCACACCCACTCATGTATTTATCCAACCTATTTTTAAAACTACACAATGTCTTAGCTTCTATGACGGTACTCGGGAGTTTATTCCACTCATCCATAACTCTATTACCAAACCAGTGCTTTCCTATATCCTTCCTGAATCTGAATTTTTCCAACTGAAAACCATTGCTGCAAGTCCTGTCTATGCTAGATATTTTTAGCACATTATTTACATCCTCTTTATTAATTCCTGTTTTCTATTTATACACCTCAATCATATCATCCCTAATTCTATGCCTTTCTAAAGAGTGCAGATTCAGGGCCCTCAGTCTATCCTTATAAGGAAGACTTCTGAAACACGGGATCAACTTTCTCATCATCCTTTGTACGTTTAACAGTGCATTTATATCCATTCTGCAATACAGTGACCAAAACTGTGTAGCATAATCTAAATGAGGCCTAAACAAAGATATATAGAGTTGAAGAACAACCTGAGGACTTCTATTATTTAAACTTCTTGATATGAAGCCAAGGATTCTGTTAGCTCTATTGCGAACACTTATGCACTTATGGTTTCAGATTACTGCTAACCAGAACTAAATCCTTTTTGCAATCTGTAATATTAAGATCTTCATTATTTAGTTTATATGTGGCATGGTTATTTTCCTGTCCAACATTAAGAACTCTGCATTTGTCTATATTAAACTGCATCTGCCACTTCTCTGACCACTGCATCAGTCTATTCAAATCATCCTTGAGTGCTCTGATGTCCTCATTAAAGAAAGGTTTTCAATGTTCTGGCTTGGCCATAGACAGTCCTTAACCCGTAAACGGTCCAAGCAGATCTACGTTCACATGTGTAGTGCTACAAAAGTAGATCTACGTTTTTTTTACATATTTTCAATTATAACAACAAAAAAAGTAGATCAAAGTTTTTTACACATTTTCAAATGTAAAAAAACAAAAAGATCTACTTTTTTTTACATACTTTCAAATGTTGAAAAAACGTATATATATGTTTGGACCGTTTACGGGTTAAGTGCTGACCTGGCCAACCACATAATGGAAAAGCTGAGACAAGGTTTTTACTCCATGGTTCTTAAAACTGTCACATAGTTTTTTTTATGTAGATATCCTAGTCCTCTACCCCAGAAATCTAAACATACAAGAGCTCCTAAATAAAATCAACAATGATGAAACATAAATTTTACACTTGAACTTAAAGCTGAAAGTAAGCTTCCCTTCCACCACACACTTCTGCATAACACCTGAGGATACACTGTCCTTCAAGGTTCATATAAAGCTTACCAACAAGGAGAATTTCATACATTTTGCACTATGACTTATCAAAAACGGTGGTCACAGGACTTTTCATGAGGTCTCTCATATATTTCTAGACTTGAATTCTTGGAAGAATGCAATATATTGTGCTGACTTTAATTCATTCTCACTTCTCCTCTTATTTTATTCAAGACTGCAGACACAACTCAAACCATTTTGCACAATCCACCAGCTGCCAGATGTAACCAAAAATTTATGATATATTGCAGTGATGTAGCTACACGAACCACAGAGGCTTTTGACAGAAGTAATATCCAACTTGCCACTATTGTAACAGGTTCAATTGGTGACCTAACACTGATAATGTACCCATTTAATGTTCCCTCAAAAAAAAAAAAAAAAAAAAAAAGTATACACCATTCCTTGTGAACAGCACAACAAAGATTACTTGGGGAAAAGCTTGGAGAGGTTTGTCCACCAGAATTTATAAATACAAATGCACTTACAGCAGGGATAACACTAGCATTGCTTGCTTCATACACAAAAAGGATATTTCATGCACTGGCATGATGCTAAACTGATCTACAGGAAACCAGATTGAAGACAACACAGGTACCGTGAAGTGTCAGTCATCGTCACCCCCAGTACCATCATTCAAAAACCTGGCAGTTATAATATTTCCACAATCTTAGTTCATAGCCATACACTAAAACCTTCTCCATTTCTGGGACCCTGCACTTAATTACCACTTACAAGTACAATATATACTATATAGCCAATATTAATCTCATACCCATATATTTGAAGTGATTCAGGTCCCAAGACAAAAACATTTTAAATAAAGGTGTCCATTTAAATTTAGGTGGAAATCATTATAACTTGTCTTATTACATTTTCCCTTAATATTAACAAATATATGAAATAATTAACAAAATATTTTAAAATGTATTAGTGTTATACATGTCTAAAATTTAGATAAATGAGGAAATATCCTCTCCTTTTAAATCAATAAAATCATTCAAGGACAAAGTGTTAGATCTATATGGGTCAAACAGCACCTAAGGAAATTTGAGGCAATCAGGTTGAATCTAATGGGCAATCAGATCCAAATCCTTGGATTAGAGCCCCTTACCAACATCAAAGAATCTCTTGAAGAACTCTTTAGCACTTCGGTCCCCTTAACGGAGGTGCCTTGATGTCAGTGGAAGATCCTTGAATCTAGGAACTTTACTTATCCTTTCACTGGACTGAACCTAAATGCCTCTCATTCCCCAGGCGCTATACGACCAATACGAGTTTAGTACTTCCCCCGATTAAAATATCTCGTGTGCGACCAGTTTTGAACAGAGCACCAGGGTGGAGCCCTCTAATAAAACAAAGTAAAACTTAGAGAGAGCACAAAGGAATACATCAAGACTGGTGCCTGAATTAAGGTAGAATGAGCTATGAAGAAAGAATGCCATAACTAGGCCTCATGTCACTGGACAGGGATGAACAAAATGGGCTACCATCACTACATACAAAATACTGCACTACGATGCATAGACAGGATAGATGAGGAGATTTTTAACCAGGGATGCAACAAAAATAAAGGGGGCATGACTGAAAGTTACACACCCAAGTGAGCTATAAGAATATCAGGAAATATTTCTACAACATAAATGGCAAAGACAAGACATGAGATGTGTAATGAAATTGAAAGCCAACTCAATAAAGGAGTTCAAGAATATAAATAACAGAGTTCAATCAAGTTAATTAAAAGGAGGCCTAAGAGCTCACACCTTGTAACTCAAATAGGTAATGACAAAAACAATTTGTGGGGTACTACATCTCTGATATGCTCCAAAACAAGGGGAATTAATGTAATGACCAAAGAACAGGGAAATTACTTACACGGAACTTACATTGTTATTCTCGGTAATCTGTTGCTGAAGTGAGTTTACAGCTTATATAATCATCTTCTTGGGGCTTGTAAATGTTATGGTTAGCTACATGTCAGGAATCATGTTGATCATTATTTTTACTGTCTGTGTGTTGCATTTCTGCATTGTTAACTTGAAATATTCTTTTTTGTGCATGCCAAACAGGAGATATTCCCTGGGGATGTAAATAAGACATCTGTTTAAAAACATACTAAGACAATATATGTTTTTCACACTAATATCTATTGTGAATGTTTATATATAAAATGTAAACTTCTTTCTTCTTTCAACACACCGGTCGTATCCCACCGAGGCGGGGTGGCCCAAAAGGAAAAACGAAAGTTTCTCCTTTTACATTTAGTAATATAAACAGGAGAAGGGGTTACTAGCCCCTTGCTCCTGGCATTTTAGTCGCCTCTTACAACATGCATGGCTTACGGAGGAAGAATTCTGATCCACTTTCCCATGGAGATAAGAGGAAATAGACAAGAACAAGAACTAGAAAGAAAATAGAAGAAAACCCAGAGGGGTATGTATATACAGTGGACCCCCGGTTAACGATATTTTTTCACTCCAGAAGTATGTTCAGGTGCCAGTACTGACCGAATTTGTTCCCATAAGAAATATTGTGAAGTAGATTAGTCCATTTCAGACCCCCAAACATACACGTACAAACGCACTTACATAAATACACTTACATAATTGGTCGCATTCGGAGGTAATCGTTATGCGGGGGTCCACTGTATATGCTTGTACATGTATATGCAGTGTGACCTAAGTGTAAGTAGAAGTAGCAAGACATACCTGAAATCTTGCATGTTTATGAAACAGAAAAAAGGACACCAGCAATCTTACCATCATGTAAAACAATTACAGGCTTTCGTTTTACACTCACTTGGCAGGACGGTAGTACCTCCCTGGGCGGGTGCTGTCTACCAACCTACTACCTATAATAAAATGTAAGCTTCTTCTTTCTTTCAACACACCGGCCGTATCCCACCAAGGCAGGGTGGCTCAAAAAGAAAAACGAAAGTTTCTCTTTTAAATTTAGTAATTTATACGGGAGAAGGGGTTACTAGCCCCATGCTCCCGGCATTTTAGTCGCCTCGTACAACACGCATGGCTTACGGAGGAAGAATTCTGTTCCACTTCCCCATGGAGATAAGAGGAAATAAACAAGAACAAGAACTAGAAAGAAAATAGAAGAATACCCAGAGGGGTGTGTATATATATGCTTGTACATGTATGTGTAGTGTGACCTAAGTGCAAGTAGAAGTAGCAAGACATACCTGAAATCTTGCATGTTTATGAGACAGACAAAAGACACCAGCAATCCTACCATCATGTAAAACAATTACAGGTTTTCGCTGTACACTCACGTGGCAGGACGGTAGTACCTCCCTGGGTGGTTGCTGTCTACCAACCTACTACCTATAATAAAATGTAAACGTAAGCTAGAAATATTAATTTTGGAAGTTGGGCAGAGAACATTTTCTTTCCACAAATTTTATACTCAATGACATGCTTTAGGATCCACGGTAATCTTAGGCTGAATATGCTGATGGCAAATACACGAGAAAAAATATTTAAGCATTATTTTTCGTACACCTATAATGTATCTACTTTTTTCTTTTTTGGCTGGGGAACTGATCCCCAGTGTATCTACTTTCAGTTACCTGTAGCACTCAATAAATTATGAAATTTTTCATTCTATGTGGAATGACACTGATATAGTGTATTCTTAAATTTCTAAACATTTTAAACATGCAGTTACATTTATTGTTTTGAAAAATACATGCAGTTGGTAAACTTTTCAAAGTGGCATACTTCGTATAACAATTGATGAACATGGTTCAGTAAAAAAAAAAAAATCCTAATAAAGTATGACTTAGCTCATGTTTATGCAACAAGATGCCATGAGGAATCAATTAAAATATGCAGAATTCAAAAGGTCAGCAAACATCATTCAACTTGACATTTGTAACTCCTTATTTTTACAGTTCACTCAGGTAGTCTATGTTACTAAATTATCATGTCCTATGTTGCTCAGTATTTAATAATAAAATAAGCTATAGAATAAAACTACAACACTGTTGTATAGCTGTTTCTCTTACCTTTCCATGACATACAACAGTTTTCAAATAACATTCCACAAATTGCATAAATTTAGGTACAATAAATGTAAAAGCAAGTGAAAAGAGGCCATTTGTGAGTATGACCTAATTAGTAATGCCAACTTTAACCATCTTTATTAAATTTATTTTTCATTTTTTACTCTAATTGTGAATCCTATCTTCAATAAATATTCCTTTATAAAGTAAAGAAAAAACTTTCAACTAGTTAGTTATATAATAAGTAACACATCTTTAACTAGTCCTTTTGTGACCTACATCACAGTGGAATGAACCTTGAGCTTTTCAATGCTGGTGTATTGAATTAATGGAATGTTTGAATTGGTTTTCAGCTGTGTAAGTACTCATTTGTTATTTTTAGTAAAGAAATTGGGATACACATTAGTTTCTTTGCCATAGCTTATGAATGCATCTTCTAATTGGCTGATATTTAACTGCACTAGAAACTTATGTGCACTCTGTACTATTCCTTTCATGTGAACTGAAATAGGAGGCCTAAGCTAATGCAATATGGATACCCTTCTCAGATCGTACAGTGACTGAAACACAAGGGCGGTCTCACAATGCCAGGGAAATGGGAAGAGTTATGGGTAATCAGGTGTGATTCAAGAAAAGGAAGGGTAGCTTCTATTTAAAACCATAAAAGAAAAATCTGCCATTTGCAAATGTCAGCATTATTGTGCAGAATTAAGGGTACAACAACAAGAGGGCCATAGGAATCTGCTACTGAAAGTGTTAGTTTAAGGGTTAAATGGTCAGTAAGCTATTTTGTGACTCAATGACTACCAGTGTCTTTCCAGGCACTTAATACATGTCAGGCCCATCTTGGAGACCTAAGCATCAATATGGAATCCACACCTGAGGAAGCATGTTAAGAAACTGGATAAAGTGCAAAAGTATGCAACAAAACTTGTTCCCAAATTAAGAGACATGAGCTACGAGCAGAGGTTAACAGAAATGAATCTAAGACATTGGAAGATAGAAGAACCAGAGAAGATATGATAGCATACAAAATACTCTAGGAAATTGATAAGGTAGACAGGGACAGGCTGTTTGAGAGGCAAGAAATGGGAACTCAGGGATACAGCTGGAAGTAAGGCGTAAATGAGTCACAGGTTTGTCAGGAAATATTTCTTAAGTCTCAGGGTAGTCGGAAATTGTAATGATCTCAGTGGAAAAGCTGTGGAAGCAGGCTACATACATAGCTTTAAGAGGTACAAGAGGGCCCAAGAAGCTAGGGAGTGAATCTGGCAAGCAACAAGTCAAGAGGTGGGCCCAGAAGTTACGACTCAACCTCTGTAGCCACACAGGGAAGCACTGCCACCCTTCACAACACATGACAAATTTCCACAACATATTCCCACCCTCACCACAATGTAAACTGTTTGCACTACTTGTAATGACCTATACATGAGAGTGCAGTAATGTACAAGTCCACCATCACAAATCCGGCAATCAGTTATTTGGTTCCTTCAGCTATTCGGCACTAATTTTGGCTAGCATAATTTCAAATTTCCAGGGTCGCCACACCAACCTGCTGGTACTGTTTGGTGGCGCTACTTGCTGCATAAGTCATTCCAATTTCTTTTTCTCCATTTATTGTTTTAACCTGCTTACTTTTAGCCCTAGCCATGGTTCCAATAAATAAAAGAAATGCTTCTCATTATGTAAAGCACCTACACAGTACATTATCCATTAAAGATAAGGTGGCTTTGAAGCCACTGTCAGTTGCCATGAACTCAGTCTCATGAAGCAGGAGAATATGCTTTATTATTACGCTAATATCAACACTACAGCTTATTTGCCTATCACAATTGATCTTTGACATAAGAAACAATATAAATAACATAAAACATGTTAAATACTCCAGAATGAATAATATTTGGCATAACACCGAGCAGTTCGACAGAGCTATGAAGAGGATATGGTATACAAATACCATTCTCCTATCCCTGTCTTGGGGCTTATATTAGAGAAAACAGAGTATAGCACAGGGCTAACTGTGATATACACTCGTACTGCACCATAAACCTGAAACAAAAGTTATTTTCTTTATATAGATTATCACACACAGCAGCATATGTGTAGAGAACCTAGGATAACCCAAAAAAAGTCAACGTGGCTTATTTTTAGTACCTGGCTTGGGTTAGCCATATATGATTTTTGGTAAATATTCGATTCCCAGCCAGGGTAGAAACATTAGGCATGTTTCTTTACACCTGTTGTCTATGTTTACCCATCAGTAAATGGGTACCTGGGTATTAGCCGACTAGTGTGGGTGTTATCCTGGGACACTGACCTATTTTTCTTGAAATATTCTGCATAACAAGCGGCTTTCTACACAGTAGTATGTCACTGATGTCAGCTAGGTCTGTATACCTTGTACATGTATGTGTAGTAAATAAAGATATTATTATTATTATTATTATTATATTATTTTCTCAGTTGTTTGTTGGGTTATCTTATTCAAACTTGGGCAATGTATGATGGAAAGATACTTCTTCACGTACACCAAAAATGAAAGAAATCAGACCATAAATAGCGGAGTTAACTTCTCAGCCATTAGCGGCCGCTTAGCGGTATATTTTTGTATGGTTATAGTTATATTCTCATTTTTGTGGTCTCATTTGATAGAATGAAATATATATTACAGAAATAGATATGATTTTGATTGCTTTCATGACGAAAAGTACCTTGAAATTGCGCTCACAGTAGCGAAAATGTTCTACTCTTTAGCGAAGCTCAAGAGTAAACAAATGACGTCACTGTCCAATACCTGTCCGCCTGCCAGTCTAAATTCCAGTACGGAGTCATGAATGGCTTGACATTATTTATACAATTATTACAATAATGCAGCAGTCTGCATAACAGTAAATCTTCTATTTTTTTGTGAATAAAAATTCCAAATGAAAAGCAAGAGTAATATAAGAGGGGCCTGTAGCCGTGACTAATGAGCAGAGAAAATGTTATTTTAGTGCCAGGAATGTCCGCATTGTTTATTCTGGACCCTATTTTGAAATTGGCATCTGTTGAAATTTGTGTGAAATTGGCCAAATTGCCAATTTCTGACTACTTTATTGGGTAGTTGAAATAAGTGAATGGGCAATTTCTTGTACTCAGTCGACAGACTAGAAGTAAGTAAATAAGTACGTTATAGCACTACTAATATATTCACTGTTTTAACTATCCTCAGTACTTCTCACTTTCTCACTGTCTTTTACTTTCATTGTTAAGGGCTGTGTACTGGGGTAGAGTATTTGCAGTAGAGTACATGAATGATATGCACTAAAAGTTCTTCCATAAAGGTCTGGTCTAGTCTGGTTGGGTCTGGGACCAGGCCACAGGAGTGATGGTCCCTGGAACCAGCATAAAGTAAATAAAATCTTCTCCTAAAATTAGGATGTGCCTAATACATAGATATTTGAATTTGACAACAAATTTAGTTTAGTACTAAAATATAATAATTTGACATAGTTTGGTAAAGAAAAATTGTGATGGCTTACATGTGAAGGTCGTCTCTCCTCCTGCATCTCGGATATTCCTGCGAGCACATACGCTTCATAATCATGAAAATGTGGAATAACCAGCCATTTAAGCATTGCTTTCTCCTTGATTTCTTTGTTGACAATTGATCTGTCAATATACTGCTCACGGATTTTCTTAACATTCTGTGCGGCTTTGTCCCAGCTGAGAGGCTGAAAAATACACAACATTAAGAAAGAAATAGCAGAGGTACCATTAGTTATACATACTCGTCATTTACAGATAAGGATAATTAATGCTGTACATATAATCAAATCAAACTACTCAACTTCCTGGTCAGCAGTGAATGGGGTTGTATTCATAGGTCTTAACCCTTAAACTGTCCAAACAGATCTACGTTCACATGCATAGTGCTCCAAAAGTAGATGTAGGTTTTTTGCATATTTTCAAATATAACAAAAAAAATGTAGATCAAAGTTTTTTACACATTTTCAAATGTAAAAAAAAAAGGTCTGCATTTTTTTACATACTTTCAAATGTTGAAAAAATGTAGACCTACGTTTGAACAGTTTAAGGGTTAATAATCTCTGCATGATTTTCAGATGCACATTCTTCCAAAAATATTATACTTCTTTTTTAATTTTCAAACCACCCATTATTCAAATTCCTTTATATGTAAACATTATTTCTTACTATCTTACAAAAATCTGACATGTTCTTCCTGATAACAGCAGCACAGTGCAGTATATTTCTAATTTTTCCTCCTCAATCCAAATATTCACCAACACAGGCTAGTATATCTTCCTCATTTTCCTAGTATCTCCAATAGCAATAGCACTTTTCTAGGTGCTATGGTTAATGGAAAATTGTGCATAGCATGATATAAAGTTCTATATACATACAGTGAACTTTCGGTTTTTCTGTTTAATCTATTCCAGAGCCATCAGCCATAACCAAAAACCATTTTCCCCATAAGAAATAATGTAAATGGAATTAATCCGTTCCAGACACCCAGAAGTATCAATAAAAAAAATTTTTTTTACCTTAAAGATAGATTTACATGCACAAAAGAATGAGCATTACACATGACACTTACCTTTACTGAAGGCTGTTGTTGATGGATGGAAGACAGGGAGGAAGGGAGAGGGAAGAGAGGTTATTGTTTAGAAGGGGAATCCCTCTCCATAAGGACTCGCAGTACCAAGTCCTTATCAGGGGTCACTTGTCTAGCTTAAATATAGATTTACATGCAGAAAAGAATGACAAATAAATATAAAGCACTAATAAACTGTATAAATGAACATTTAACATCATACTTACCTTTATTGAAAAGACTTGTTGGTGTATGGCAGACCAGGCAGAGGGGAGAGGGAGGAGAGTTTATTGTTGGAGAATATGACACTAATATCAACTCTACGGCTTATTTATCTATCGCAATTCAACTAATATGACATAATAAACAATATTAATAACACAGAAACGTGGAATATACTCTAGAATGAATAAAATAAGTCATTATGTATGTCACAACTGGTGTTGTGTTGTTGCTATTGGGTGTACAAGGGCCACTGTGAGCATAAGCCGTACATAATGTTGGTGATGGCTGCAGCTGAGGCAGCGGTGTTTTCTGTACCCCTATATAACTCCAATAACATTGGAGGAATTAGTAGAATTGCTGAATCACTGAAGAAGGCACCCTCTACCACCATCACAAAACCACTACCACCCTCTACCACCATGACAACCACTACTACCCTCTACCACCATCACAACCACTACTACCCTCTACCACCATCACAACCACTACTACCCTCTACCACCATCACAACCACTACTACCCTCAACCACCACCACTTTCATATTTTTCTACAAACTTTTTCTTGAATTATATTGTGTTTCTCACATTCTTTACCAAAGGGTGGCACTGGTGGCCTCTACCACCATCACAACCACTACTACCCTCTACCACCATCACAACCACTACTACCCTCAACCACCACCACTTTCATATTTTTCTACAAACTTTTTCTTGAATTATATTGTGTTTCTCACATTCTTTACCAAAGGGTGGCACTGGTGGCCTGGTGGTTAACGCTCTCGCTTCACACGGTGAGGGCCTGGGTTCGATTCCCAGCCAGAGTAGAAACATTGGACGTGTTTCTTTCCACCTGTTGTCTATGTTCCCCATCAGTAAAATGGGTACCTGGGTGTTAGTCGACTGGTGTGGGTCACATCCTGGGACACTGACCTAAGGAAGCCTGGTCACAGACCGGGCCGCGGGGGCGTTGACCCCTGGAACTCTCTCCAGATAAGCTCCAGAAGCTTTCTTTGGGCCCATGGTGGCTTATTTAGCAGTCACACACAATAAACAAGTGGCAAAAACAATGGGTTATTATGAAATGTGTCATATGGCCTGGCAGGGTATGTTCACTCACCAAGAAACAACAATGTGTGTGGGAGGCAGCTTTGTCTGTGTGCTGGGCACTGGACAGGTTCCACATGATCGACAAAAATGGAGGTAATCGGCAAAAACAGAGCCAAAAAATCAGCGAAAAAAGTCGGCCAAAACCGAAATCGGCGATAATGGAGATCAACGAAAACAGGAGGTCCACTGTCCAAGTCTTGTAAAGGGGTCCCATTTTCTGAAGGGACCCCTGAGCAAAACTTGGCCAGCAGCACTTCTACAATCATTAATGAACTTGCTGCCTCCGGTGGGGCAGATGATGTACCAAGCACCTCCACAGTAGTACTTGCGTGTGGCCAGCAGTAACAGCCTGGTTGATCAGACCCTGATCCACCATGAGGCCTGGTCTCAGACCGGGCCGCGGGGACGTTGACCCCCGAAACCCTCTCCAGGTAAACTCCAGGTATAGGTAAACATGAAGTGAACGAGGCAGTACTGTTGTCTCGGAATTACTGTGGCATGAATGACAAAGGTGTGAGTATGAAAGGAGGCTTGTAGGAGAGGATCATGGCAAGCAAACATAGACTTAGCAAATCTTTGATTTAATGGACCTCAATTAGACAAATTTTGGAAATATGAAAACAAAAGACAATGTCTGTTGATCACAGAACTGTCAGTTACTGTTACACTCACATCAGCCCATTCCCCCTATTTATTAATTCATTAAATTGAAGGTTTGCTGTATGTACTTAAGTAAAAAAAAAAAAAAAAAAGTAACCTATATTATAAACATACCTCACGTGTACCATCAGATGCATATTTCTTGTTATAATTGTGAAAATGTTGTTCTTCAAGAACCAATCCATGTGCTGGTGCAATGGGAAGATCCACAAAACCTTCCTTAAATGATCTTAAGATGGTGTCAGAACTGGCTAGTCCACGACTGATAGCTATAGTTAAAGCAATCATTTTACGAATTTGATGCAGCATGAAACTTTGACCTGTTAAAATGAAACTTCGCATATATTAGTTATCTGTTTTTTGTGAATACTATTTAATACATTCAATACTGTAAAGAAAATCTATGACATTTATATCAGTCATCTCAGCAAAAATATTAGGAAAGGAATTAAGAAAAACAGAATCTTCCATAAACATATGAGCCATTATCTTCATATTTTCCAGTGTTGTTTTAAACTTCTGCTCTGATTCAATATATACACAGTGGTTTAACATCACGCAAATGAAGTACAGCAGTTCATAGTAACTCATAAATCATTAAAGAATCAAGGCAAGAGGAAAAAATACAAAGACTGCAAGGGAAGACCAAGTATGTTTGGTCTGAAAAAACAATCTTCAGGACTGGGGAAAGTTTAGGGGGAATTATACAATGAATAAACTTTGCATGCTATAAATAGAATATCAAGGTATTTTAGTTCTTATAAAACTAACTGAATTTATATAAAGTAATACCACAAGTTTCGAACTGCTCCCAACTCGAACATTTATGTAAGTGTATTTGTTTAAGTGTGTTTGTAAGTGTATTTTTGGGGGTCTGAAACAGATTAATCTAATTTACATTATTCCTTATGGGAACAAATTCATTCGGTATTGGCACTCAAACAGCATTCTAGAGTGAAATAAGTTCAAAACTCGGGGTACCACTGTACTGTAAATTACTTGGACTCTAACAAAGAGTAATGGGATAAGAAAAATTTGAGAATGCTTTGCTAGATTGAGCATATTTTGGTAATTTAGCATGCATTTCTCTTTTATTTACCACCTGACTTTTAAAAGAGCAGTGGCTATAGTTTCTAATGTACAAAAAACCTTATTGGGAACATATGCTGAAGTTATGCATCTAATTATTCATGTTGCTTAACCCTTTCAGGGTCCAGACCTCTGACCTGATAATTGCTCTTAAGGTCCAAGAATTAAAAAAAAAAAAAAAAAAAAAAGGTCATCAGTCTCAGCGATATTTACACATTGACTATTTCACCCACTTTGAGTCCTATTTTAGGATAATTTTAATGTTCCAGTTGACCAGACTCTTAGCTATTTCATTAGTATGCCTTCAATTCTATCAAGTGAGTATAAGAAACTGCCCATTTAACTATTTCAACCCTCTAATACAGTGATCAGAAATTGGTAATTTGGCCAAATTCACACAAAATAAAAAAGATATTCTTTCTGAAGAGTAAACAGCACAGTGCCATTAAAAAAAAAGAAAAAAGAAATGCAAAATCTCAATTCTTTACCTGTTATTTTGATGGTGATCCATTCTAATCCATCACGCTCAAATGGGTTACTGCACTCTGCATCGATAATTCTTCGCATAGCACATGCATCATGATATTTTCTGAAAACAATCATATCCACAGATGTCAGTGCAACCTTTCTAGGAATCTGGTGAATAATGCATACAGTGAAACCTTCATTTAACAGACTAAAAGAGGGAAGAGAGTATCTGGTAATGTTGATTGCACTTTCAGTCCAATCAACAATGATATTATTTTTCTATGATCATAACAATAATGGATAATTCTAGAAACAATGGACTTTGTCTAATGATAACGAACTTTGTCAAATGTCTGAATTTTGTTAATCTGAAATCCATTAACCCTTTGACTGTTTCGGTTGTACGTACATGTCTTACGAGCCAATGTGTTTGATGTATATATACTACAGCAACCACCCAGGGAAGTACTACCGTCCTGCCAGATGACTGTGAAACAAAAACCTGTAACTGTTTTGCATGATGGTAGGACTGCTGGTTTCTTTTTCTGTCTCATAAACACGCTAGATAACAGGGATATCTTGCTACTCCTACTTACACTTTGGTCACACTTCACAGACACACACATGCATATATATATATACATACATCTAGGTTTTTCTCCTTTTTCTAAATAGCTCTTGTTCTTTTTTATTTCTTCTATTGTCCATGGGGAAGTGGAAAAGAATCTTTCCTCCGTAAGCCATGCGTGTCGTATGAGGCGACTAAAATGCCGGGAGCAATGGGCTAGTAACCCCTTCTCCTGTATACATTTACTAAAAAAGAGAAGAAGAAAAACTTTATAAAATTGGGATGCTTAAATGTGCGTGGATGTAGTGCGGATGACAAGAAACAGATGATTGCTGATGTTATGAATGAAAAGAAGTTGGATGTCCTGGCTCTAAGCGAAACAAAGCTGAAGGGGGTAGGAGAATTTCAGTGGGGGGAAATAAATGGGATTAAATCTGGAGTATCTGAGAGAGTTAGAGCAAAGGAAGGGGTAGCAGTAATGTTAAATGATCAGTTATGGAAGGAGAAAAGAGAATATGAATGTGTAAATTCAAGAATTATGTGGATTAAAGTAAAGGTTGGATGCGAGAAGTGGGTCATAATAAGCGTGTATGCACCTGGAGAAGAGAGGAATGCAGAGGAGAGAGAGAGATTTTGGGAGATGTTAAGTGAATGTATAGGAGCCTTTGAACCAAGTGAGAGAGTAATTGTGGTAGGGGACCTGAATGCTAAAGTAGGAGAAACTTTTAGAGAGGGTGTGGTAGGTAAGTTTGGGGTGCCAGGTGTAAATGATAATGGGAGCCCTTTGATTGAACTTTGTATAGAAAGGGGTTTAGTTATAGGTAATACATATTTTAAGAAAAAGAGGATAAATAAGTATACACGATATGATGTAGGGCGAAATGACAGTAGTTTGTTGGATTATGTATTGGTAGATAAAAGACTGTTGAGTAGACTTCAGGATGTACATGTTTATAGAGGGGCCACAGATATATCAGATCACTTTCTAGTTGTAGCTACACTGAGAGTAAAAGGTAGATGGGATACAAGGAGAATAGAAGCATCAGGGAAGAGAGAGTGAAGGTTTATAAACTAAAAGAGGAGGCAGTTAGGGTAAGATATAAACAGCTATTGGAGGATAGATGGGCTAATGAGAGCATAGGCAATGGGGTCGAAGAGGTATGGGGTAGGTTTAAAAATGTAGTGTTAGAGTGTTCAGCAGAAGTTTGTGGTTACAGGAAAGTGGGTGCAGGAGGGAAGAGGAGTGATTGGTGGAATGATGATGTAAAGAGAGTAGTAAGGGAGAAAAAGTTAGCATATGAGAAGTTTTTACAAAGTAGAAGTGATGCAAGGAGGGAAGAGTATATGGAGAAAAAGAGAGAGGTTAAGAGAGTGGTGAAGCAATGTAAAAAGAGAGCAAATGAGAGAGTGGGTGAGATGTTATCAACAAATTTTGTTGAAAATAAGAAAAAGTTTTGGAGTGAGATTAACAAGTTAAGAAAGCCTAGAGAACAAATGGATTTGTCAGTTAAAAATAGGAGAGGAGAGTTATTAAATGGAGAGTTAGAGGTATTGGGAAGATGGAGGGAATATTTTGAGGAATTGTTAAATGTTGATGAAGATAGGGAAGCTGTGATTTCGTGTATAGGGCAAGGAGGAATAACATCTTGTAGGAGTGAGGAAGAGCCAGTTGTGAGTGTGGGGGAAGTTCGTGAGGCAGTAGGTAAAATGAAAGGGGTAAGGCAGCCGGGATTGATGGGATAAAGATAGAAATGTTAAAAGCAGGTGGGGATATAGTTTTGGAGTGGTTGGTGCAATTATTTAATAAATGTATGGAAGAGGGTAAGGTACCTAAGGATTGGCAGAGAGCATGCATAGTTCCTTTGTATAAAGGCAAAGGGGATAAAAGAGAGTGCAAAAATTATAGGGGGATAAGTCTGTTGAGTGTACCTGGTAAAGTGTATGGTAGAGTTATAATTGAAAGAATTAAGAGTAAGACGGAGAATAGGATAGCAGATGAACAAGGAGGCTTTAGGAAAGGTAGGGGGTGTGTGGACCAGGTGTTTACAGTGAAACATATAAGTGAACAGTATTTAGATAAGGCTAAAGAGGTCTTTGTGGCATTTATGGATTTGGAAAAGGCGTATGACAGGGTGGATAGGGGGGCAATGTGGCAGATGTTGCAAGTGTATGGTGTAGGAGGTAGGTTACTGAAAGCAGTGAAGAGTTTTTACGAGGATAGTGAGGCTCAAGTTAGAGTATGTAGGAAAGAGGGAAATTTTTTCCCAGTAAAAGTAGGCCTTAGACAAGGATGTGTGATGTCACCGTGGTTGTTTAATATATTTATAGATGGGATTGTAAGAGAAGTAAATGCGAGGGTCTTGGCAAGAGGCGTGGAGTTAAAAGATAAAGAATCACACACAAAGTGGGAGTTGTCACAGCTGCTGTTTGCTGATGACACTGTGCTCTTGGGAGATTCTGAAGAGAAGCTGCAGAGATTGGTGGATGAATTTGGTAGGGTGTGCAAAAGAAGAAAATTAAAGGTGAATACAGGAAAGAGTAAGGTTATGAGGATAACAAAAAGATTAGGTGATGAAAGATTGGATATCAGATTGGAGGGAGAGAGTATGGAGGAGGTGAATGTATTCAGATATTTGGGAGTGGACGTGTCAGCGGATGGGTCTATGAAAGATGAGGTGAATCATAGAATTGATGAGGGAAAAAGAATGAGTGGTGCACTTAGGAGTCTGTGGAGACAAAGAACTTTGTCCTTGGAGGCAAAGAGGGGAATGTATGAGAGTATAGTTTTACCAACGCTCTTATATGGGTGTGAAGCGTGGGTGATGAATGTTGCAGCGAGGAGAAGGCTGGAGGCAGTGGAGATGTCATGTCTGAGGGCAATGTGTGGTGTGAATATAATGCAGAGAATTCGTAGTTTGGAAGTTAGGAGGAGGTGCGGGATTACCAAAACTGTTGTCCAGAGGGCTGAGGAAGGGTTGTTGAGGTGGTTCGGACATGTAGAGAGAATGGAGCGAAACAGAATGACTTCAAGAGTGTATCAGTCTGTAGTGGAAGGAAGGCGGGGTAGGGGTCGGCCTAGGAAGGGTTGGAGGGAGGGGGTAAAGGAGGTTTTGTGTGCGAGGGGCTTGGACTTCCAGCAGGCATGCGTGAGCGTGTTTGATAGGAGTGAATGGAGACAAATGGTTTTTAATACTTGACGTGCTGTTGGAGTGTGAGCAAAGTAACATTTATGAAGGGATTCAGGGAAACCGGCAGGCCGGACTTGAGTCCTGGAGATGGGAAGTACAGTGCCTGCACTCTGAAGGAGGGGTGTTAATGTTGCAGTTTAAAAACTGTAGTGTAAAGCACCCTTCTGGCAAGACAGTGATGGAGCGAATGATGGTGAAAGTTTTTCTTTTTCGGGCCACCCTGCCTTGGTGGGAATCGGCCAGTGTGATAATAAAAAAAAAATACTACTCAAAAATTCTAGCGGCTTCAAATCAAGCGGAGAAAGCTGGTAGGCCCACATGTGAGAGAATGGGTCTGTGTGGTCAGTGTGCACTGTATAAAAAAAATCCTGCAGCAAGCAGTGCATGAGAAAAAAAAAACTCTGACCGTGTTTTTGGACTAAAACACCGACTTTGAGGTGTATTTTCGTATAGTATTTATGGTTACATTCTTGTTTTCCTGGTCTCATTTGATAGAATGGAAAACATATTACAGAAATAGAGATGATTTTGATTGGTTTTACTATGAAAAGGACCTAGAAATGGTGCTCAAAATAGAGGAAATGTTTGATTTTTGCAGATGTTCAAGAGTAAACAAATGTCCAACTAGTCATTCTAATATGCAGTCATGAATTGGTTGACATTATTTATATAATGATTACAATATTGCAGTAGTCTGCACAACAGTAAATCTTCTATTTTTTGTTTGAATAAAAATTCAAAATAGAAAGCAAGAGTAATATCAGAGGGGCCTGGAGATGTGACTGATGAACAAAGAAAATGCTATTTTAGAGTCAGAAATGTCTGCACTGTTCATTCTGAACCCTATTTCGAAATTGGCATATTTTTTAATTTGCGTAAAACTGGCCAAATTGCAAATTTCTGACCATGTTATTGAGTAGTTGAAATCGGTAAATGGGCAGCTTTTTGTACTCAATCGATAGAACAAATGAAGCTCTAAAGAAATAGCTATGAGTTCGGTTGACTAGAACAATGGAATTAACCGAAAATAGGGCTCAAAGTGAGCGAAATCATAAATATCGCCGAGGTCACTAACTTTGTGAGAGAGTAATTTCATGAGTTTTCCATCAAATTTTGTACTTTTGGTGTCATTACCATCGGGGAAAGATTCTCTATCATTTCATAAGAAAAATATTTTTTTTTCAAATATTTTGCGACACCAGGAGACACCTCAGGATTTGGAGTTGCGACAGTCAAAGGGTTAAATCCAGAAAAACTTTAAGTCGAGGTTTTTACTGTACAGGCAAATACAGTACTACTTATAACAAGTAACCTTGATTCCAAAAAAGGTTAATGAAAAAAATGCATGAAGAGTAAAAAAAGAAAAAGAATCTACAAAAGTATCCAGCTATGTGTATACCAAGGTGGGTTTGAAAAAACTGTATACCAAGGTGGGTTTGAAAAAACTGTATACCAAGGTGGGTTTGAAAAAACTGTATACCAAGGTGGGTTTGAAAAAAAAACTGTATACCAAGGTGGGTTTGAAAAAACTGTATACCAAGGTGGGTTTGAAAAAACTGTATACCAAGGTGGGTTTGAAAAAAAAACTGTATACCAAGGTGGATTTGAAAAAAAAAAACTGGCTAAATATTTTCTGACATGGATAACACATAGGCAAACTGTTCCAAAGGCAAAGATGGGAAGGTATGAGAGTATAATGGTACCAACACTGTTACATGGGTGTGAAGCATGGGCTGTAAATGTTGCAGTGAGGAGTAGGCTGGAGGGAGTGGACATGTCGTGTCTAAGGGCAATGTGTAGTGTAGATATGTAGAGTATTATTAGTGTGGAAATTTGGAGATGTGGAGTTAATAAGGACATTATTCAGAGGGTTGAGGAGAGGTTGTTGAGGTGGTTTGGTCACTTAGAGAGGCTGGAGCAAAATAGGATGACTTGGATGGTGTATAAATCTGTAGTGGAGGGAAGGGGTAGGGGGTCATTCTAGGAAATGGAGGGAAGGGGTAAAAGAGGTTTTGTGTGCAAGGGGATTGGACATACAGCAGGCATGTGCGAGCATGTTAGATAGGAGTGAATGGAGAAGAATTGTTTTTGGGACTCGATGAGCTGTTGGAGTGTAAGCAGGGTAATATTTTGTGAAGGGATTCAGGAAAACCAGTTAACCAGACTTGAGTCCTGAAGGTGGGAAGCATAATGCTTGCACTTTAAAGGAGAGGTTTGGAATTTTTTTTGTCTACAGTGATATCTGAACTGCCATAACTGCATGCCTTTGCAAAGACAGTGATTATGTGTGAATGATGGTGAAAGTGTTTCTTTTTTTTTTTGGTTCATCCTGCCTCAGTGTTGAAAATAAAAAGATTTTTTTATTATTTTTATTTTATTACCACATCGGCTGTTTCCCACAAGGCACGGTGGCCCGAAAAAGAAAAAAATATGTATATAATTAAGGTTAAGTACTAAACCCATGTGGGTCATTCAGCGCAATATGTGGTGAAGGTTTGATCCTCCATCTGCTTACCATGAAGCAGACTTGCTTCCTATTTATACCCAACTAGATGTTCCCACAGGAAGGATTAAACAAGTTGTGAGATGTGAAGAGCAATTTCAGCAATAAAAAATAAACACAATATAGGAAAAACTACATATAAAACAAATTTAAACACAAAATAAAAACTAATGCAAACATATCAAGCACACAATCACATCAAATTTAAATAACCTGCATTAGTTATAAACCCTGTTAAACCATCACTGTTAAAAGACTCTCCTAGGAATATTTCAAGATCCCAACAGGCACCCGATAATTACAAAAAAAGGATGTCACAAGTGACGAGGTCGAAGTCTACCATCCTTTTCATTCCTTGGAAACTTCTGCCCCTAAGGCCAAAAATATAACAGTAAAGGAAAAATATAATCTGTCCCAGAGAAATGAATACAGCAAAGGTTATTTAATCAACTTACACTCCTGATGTAAAATTGTGAAAATTATGAAGACCTTTATACATCTGCAGCATCTTTCTAACTTCTTCTAAAATATCCTGAGTCATACGGTAATCTTCACTTGCTGTCTGTGAACCATATATATTATTGTTAAAATATGAATCAATACAGCATTCATAATTAGCTCATTTACAAATGGATTAGGCACAGTATGGTAAAACTGAAAACTCTGTTATAATAAAAAGTACACAATTAATGAAGCAATTTTCACCTGGGCCAAAGTATGGGTTAAAATGATGGTAACTGCCCTAGCAAATACGGTAGACCCCACTTAATGAACATTCAAAAACATACTGAATAAGACAAAAAAAAAAAGAACTTTAAATTACCCCCACCTTATGCCCAACTTATACGTACAGTAGGGCCCCACTTACACAGCAGGTTAGGTTCCAGGCTACTGCCTTAAACCGGAATGTCATTTTTTCCACTTATAAATGCATATACAGTGGACCCCCGTTAACGATATTTTTTCATTCCAGAAGTATGTTCAGGTGCCAGTACTGACCGAATTTGTTCCCATAAGGAATATTGTGAAGTAGATCAGTCCATTTCAGACCCCCAAACATACACGTACAAACGCACTTACATAAATACACTTACATAATTGGTCGCATTGGAAGGTGATTGTTCAGCGGGGGTCCACTGTAAATTGCCAGACAACAAGTTTGCACTAACTTATATTAAGTTAGTAATAGAACAATGCATTAAAAAAACACAATAAAAAGTAGAATACATACACAGTACATTCATTACTTACCTTAAAATATTTGTAGTCTTAATGTAAGGCAAGAGGCGAGTAGTATGTACTTATTTGTAAAAAGTCAGGTGTAGGTAGCCCTAGCTCCCCATCCCAAACTTAATACAGTGGACCCCCGGTATTCGATATTAATCCGTTCCAGAGAGCTCATCGAATACTGAAAATATCAAAAACCGAATCAATTTTCCCCATAAGAAATAATGGAAATCAAATTAATCTGTGCAAGACACCCAAAAGTATGAAAAAAAAATTTTACTACATGAAATATTAAGTTTAATGCAAAAGAATAATTACAATAACAATAAAATAATTGACACTTACCTTTAATGAAGATCTGGTGATGATTGATGGGATGGGAGGAGGGGAGAGGTGTTAGTGTTTAGAAGGGGAATCCCCTTCCATTAGGACTTGAGGTAGCAAGTCCTTTTCTGGGGTTTCTTCCCTTCTTCTTTTAATGCCACTAGGACCAGCTTGAGAGTCACTGGACTTCTGTTGCACAACATAACTGGCAGCCTCACCATGCCTAATCACACTATGTATGCCACTACGATTCTTAAATCTTTCACACCAACCTTTGCTGGCCTTAAATTCACTCACATCACCACTAGTTGCAGGCAATTTCTTTACCAAATCATCATGCAACTGCCTAGCCTTTTCACAAATGATCGCTTGAGAGATGCTATCTCCTGCTATCTGTTTTTCATTTATCCACACCAATAACAATCTCTCAACATTTTCTAACACTTGCGGTCGCTGTTTCGTAATCACAGTTGCACCTTTTGCAAGAACAGCTTCCTTGATTGCAGTTTTCCTGGTCACTATAGTAGAGATGGTTGATTGGGGTTTATTATACAACCTAACCAGCTCCGACACATGCACTCCACTTTCGTACTTTGCAATTATCTCTTTCTTCATTTCATAAGTCATTAGCGACTTTTTTCTCGAAGGGTTGGCACTAGAAGCTTTCTTGGGGCCCATGGTGACTTATTTTGCAGAAACAAGCACCAAACACAGTGATAATATGGAATGTACTGAATGTATCTTTAGATACGCACACACTGGCTGGCTTGTAAACACTGGCACACATGGGGCAGTTCAGGCCACACGTGGACAGGTCTCGTATGAATCGTATTGAATACCGGGTTTTCAATCGAATACTGAGGAAAATTTTTTGCGATATAATGCATCGAATACCGGATTTATCGAATACCAATGCCATCGAATACCGGGGGTCCACTGTACAGTGGTATCCTGAGTTTCGGCCACCTCCCAACTCGAACAGTTATGTAAGTGTATTATTGTAAGTGCTTTTATAAGTGTATTTTTGAGGGTCTGAAATGGATTAATCTAATTTACATTATTCCCTATGGGAACAAATTAGTTGGGTAAGGGCACTCGAACAGCCTTTCTGGAATGAATTAGGCTGAAACTATGGGTTCCACTGTATACGATATTTAAAGCAGCCCAGAGAGATAAAATACACATACAGTACACTCATTATTTACCTTAAAATATGTGTAGTGTTAATGTAGGATGAGAGGCGAGTAGTATTTATTTGTAGGAAGTCAGGTATAGGCAGCCGGTAGGTGTAGCCAGCCTGGGCTACACCTACCTATGTAGCTATACAATATTTAAAGTGGCCCAGAGCCACATTATTACCATCGACCTACCTTGTTCGCTGAGTTTAATTGTTTCTAAAAACTACCTTTACAGTGCTAGTCACAGCATTATACCAGGTGAGTGCCCTGGCATAATGCCATGATGAAAATCAAAGGCCTACCATACAGGAGGGTCTTTTTTTGTCATGGCATCACGGCTTGCCGCCACACTCCACAGTGACTCTTCAGTGCTCACATGACTGCCACTGTGAGAGGAAGTGTTGCACTTTTGTCTCTCATCCACCCCATCTTTTGTCCAGTGCTCCCTTTGGTTTTGGGGCTATACATGTTTGATTATGGGTAAAAGGAAGTCTTTAACCCTTTGAGGGTCCGTCCCGTAGATCTACGGCTTTACGTTCAGGGTCCAAACCGTAGATCTACGTCATGAGCTCAGCTCACTCTGATAAACTGTGAGTGGTACATTTGGGCCTAGATATGAGAGAATACATCTATGTGGTATGTGTGCACCACATAAAACAGATCCTGCAGCACGCTGTGTATAATGAGAGAAAAAACTGAAATCATGATTTTTCGATTAAAACAGCGACTTTGCAGTGTTTTTTCGTATGTTTTTTATAGTTCTATTTGCGATTTCTTGGTCTCATTTGATAGAATGGAAGACATATTACAGAAATAGAGATAATTTTGATTGGTTTTAGCACTGGAAATGGCTTGAAACTGAGCTCAAAGTAGCAGAAATGTTAAATTTTTGCCGATATTCAAGAGTAAACAAACGACCTCACACATCTAATACACGCCAGCTGGTGGGTCTAATATGCATTCACAAATATGGTGATGATATTTATACAATTATTACAGTATTGCATAACAGTAAATCTTCTATTTTTTGGTGTGAATAAAAATTCATTATGTGAATAAAAAATCAAAATGGAATTTATTTGTAAAGCCTCAAAACGTAACTAATGAACAGAGGAAATGTTAGTTTAGTTCCAGGAATACCTACATTGTTTATTCTGGACCCTATTTTGAAATTGGAATATTTTGAACTTTGTGTTAAATTGGTCAAATTAACAATTTCCGATCACTTTAATTTGTAGTTGAAACAGTTGACTTGGCGATTTCTTGTGCTCAATCGATAGAATAGAAGTAATACTAGTGAAATAGCTAAGAATTTGGTTGACTGGAATAATGTAATTGGCCTAAAATGGGAGTCAAAGTCGGCAAAATCGCCAATTCGTAAATATCGCTGACACATCAAAATTCGCGAGAGCATAATTTCGTCAATTTTCCATCAAATTTCGTACTTTTTGTTTTATTACCTTCACAAAAAGATTCTCTACCATTTCATAAGAAAAAATAACAAATTTTTTTTTTTTAAATTCTTGGACACTGGGGCACCACTTCAGATTTGGGCCTTGGACCCTGAAGGGGTTAACACCTGAAACTATAACTCAAATCATAGGGCTTCACAAAGCTGGGCACCAGACAAAGGAAATAGTGGAGAATGTTGGTGTGTGTGAGCATTCAGTGAGGAACTGGGTGCAGTATTTCAAGGCTGGTGGTGGTGTAGTTACCGTCTGCCAAACCTCGGCCTGGCCCCTCGAAGAAGACATCTGTTCGTACCTTAACTGTGTTAAAGAAGCAGTTAGAGAGTACACCTAAGATAACTGCTAAAGAACTGAAAGAAAATAATCCACATCTTCTCGCAGAGGTGTCTGCAAAAACTGTTAACAGATGTGTGTCAGAACTGGGCTACAGTAGTCACTGCCAGGTTAAGAAACCAATCCTCTCCAAGTCACAGAAGAAATGTAGCTGGATTTTGCAAAGAAATATCTTCACTGGAATCCTCAACAGTGGTCTGAGGTACTTTGGAGTGATGAAGCAACCTTCACCATCACCTGTAACCGTGGGGGACATGTGTACCAGCCCAGAGGTAGTGACTCGTTAGACCCATGCTACACCTGTGGGACCATCAAACACCCAGACTCGCTCATGGTTTGGGGGTGTTTCAGTGCTCAGTGTTGGTGAAACTGTGATTCCCAAAAACCAGTATATAAACCAGTATAATTACCTAGAGTTATTGTATGACAATTTGCCTGAGGCGTTTGACAAGTGTGGGCCTATGGTTTTTACGCAGGACGGTGCACTGTGTTATACCGCCAAATCTGTAGTTCAGTGGCTTAAGGACTGTGAAGAGAGGCTCTTTAATGACTGGCCAGGCAATTTCCCAGACCTAAACCCTATTGAGAACCTCTGGTCAATAGTGAAACAAAGTTTACTGGGCAAGGATATCAGTTCCATCCCATGGCTGGAGGCTGCTCTACATGAGGTATGGAATAATATACCTCCTCAAACCCTCAAGAATTTTTGTGTGTCTTCCTACACGGCTGAGGGATGTGATTAAGCGTAAAGGACGCAGCGCCAAGTATTAAAACCTCAGTAAGTGTGCAAATATATATATTATAATCTTTCATGGTATGTGTTTGTGTTTTGGTACGTGTGGGGGAGGGGCGGCATAATGCCGTAACTAGCACTGTAGATGCCATCATAAATGAAGGGAGAAGTAATGAATAATTCATGCAGAGATATGTAAACAAATGCAGAGTGTTAAGGGGAGTGACTAGGCCAAACGCAGATTCATACACGTTTTCTCGGGTGTTGGACCAGAGAAAACATAATGTTTTCCCTCTGCCCGGATAGCATACCTCCATAGCATATAAACATAACATGTTTATATGCAATGAAACATGTTTCTTATATAATTTTGAAGAAAATGTCATAGATGGATTAATAAAAATGTTTATTTTAACGTAAAACAAGACATTTAATGTGCCCAAGAGTGATTATTATTATGTACTATTAATATTACTATGGTGTTAAGACTAGAGAGAGACTCTTAGTGATTTTAATGTGTAACCTGTATGCCAGCACAGAGTGCAAATATATTTAGGTACAGGTACACATAAGTATTATTATCGAAGACCTTATAAAATATGCAATAACTTTAATACACTTGAAATTTTGGAAAGTTTCCAGATATAATAGAGATGTGCTCATGAAGAATGCAACCAAACTGAGTGGGGCACACTGTATTAGAAAGACAGTTTGCCATATAGTGAGTTTTGGTCATAATTTGAAATCGCCGTATTAGCAGAAAGCCACAAAGCAGAGCCCTACTGTACTTCAATGACCTCATGACAAGCAGTGACCATCATCAACAAAGAGGGGTGTATATACAGCTGCTGCTAGTTCAATGGAACATACTATTAGTATTTTTTATACCATATATCAGTGTACTTTATCTAAAAAATAAGTGAAGAAAAAATAGAAAATAATTGTGAACATCTTTCCTGATTAATCACAACAATAATTTAAAAATGCACACTTACTGGCAAAACTGTACCAATCAAATAAGAACCCACCACACCTATGTCAAACATAGTATCATCTCTCACTCTCACTAAATGATGTGATCTATCTCAATTATAATACCTGGCAATTGTTCCAACAAAAACAGAAAGTGATTTTTCTATATTTATGGCATTGATAAGTGATTCCAAGGAACAAAAACTACTGGAAATGTTTCACCTCTTGGCTAGGAGTCATATTCAGCTTTGAGATATGGATGAAATGACAGAGAAATGACAGAGAAGGAAATGGCAGGGATGCAGGAAATGGAAGATGGGAGTGAGGAATGGAACTGGGGTTAGGGGGGAGGGGCGCTTGGTACTATCTTAGGCATACAGCACATAATTATGAACTTCATGCCCTCCTCCTTGTATCTCTCCCCCCCCCCCACTTCCCTAAAGACATGAAATATTGTCATCTCAGTCCACATCTCAGGTTATAACACTGAGTGTTATAACCTGAAAAATGCAATTCAATTAACACATTTTTTCCTTAACAGATGTTTTATTTTGTCCCTATCTAGAACGTTAAATTTAGGTCAACTGTACTAGTAAAGAGAGACTAACCCCTTTACAGAAATGGCGATGATGGTTATGTACCATCAGAATTTTACTTTGAGGAATTTTATAACGAGATTCAGGGAATGGTTGGAAATGGAATGATAAAACAGTAGTGCTTAGTAGTAGACAGTTTAAAGAGAGTGAAAGGAAATATTTTACCATGAGTGGTTTCTTCAGTCCAACAGAATGGAAAAAGTCACTTGTGTCAAAATGTTTCCTTTTATAAATGTTTTGGAACTGTACACAAGTGTTTTTGTCCACAGATCACGGGAATGTATAGGGAAACTGGAGAGGATCTAAATACTACGTGACATAAAATAATATGGCTGGACATCAATACATCAATGAAAAGGCTTAACATTCTGTAACATTTAACAGATAGATTCTACATGTGTGGAAGAGAAAGTAGAGGAAGTGGATAATGTCATTTCTACTGAAAATTGTTTCATGACCACAAGCTTGCTATTTGCTATCCAGAGCTTGCTATCTGCTATCCACAGTAAAACTCAGATATGTCTCAAGATTTATCTCCACTAGATTTATACACTCTCCAAGTTATTCTATTTTTCTCCATCCACTCTAAATGTCCAAAACCACCTCAATAACCCATCCTCAGCCCTAATTAATACTCTTAGTAACCCACACCTCTGCGCAAAATCAAAGCTAAGAACTACCTGTAGAATTGGACCACTACTGAGAGGAGACTCGTATACTGACGAGTGAAATCCTAAAAGAACAGTATGAGTCAGTGTTCAGCAACCCACTAAATGACAGTAAGGTAGAAAATGCAGAAATATTTTTCACTCCAGAAGAAGGCTGCACAGACCAACTAACTAACATTAGTACAAATCCCATAGATTTTGAAAAAGAAATGGAAAACATAACCACTCACTCAGCACCTGGACCAGATTCATGGAATGCTCTATTTATGAAGAAGTACAAAGTACCACTAGCACGAGCCCTCAGTATTCTTTGGAGAAAGAGCTTAGATCTAGGTGAAATACCGGAGGCCTTAAAGAGTGCAGACATAGCTCCTTTGCATAAAGGAGGTAGTAGGGCACTAGCTAAAAATTACAGACCTAACCTCTCATATCATAAAAATCTTCGAAAGAGTGATGAGACGGCAGGTTACAAATTTCATGGACCAGCACAACCAACATAACCCGAACCGGTATGGTTTTAGAGCAGGACGATCATGTCTGTCACAGCTGCTGAACCATTATGACAGAATTACGGAGGCACTGAAAGACGACCAAAACGCAGATGTGATTTACACAGATTTTGCAAAGGCGTTTGACAAATGCAATCAGGGAGTGATAGCGCACAAAATGAAGGCCATGGGCAATACGGGGAAGGTAGGCAGATGGATTTTCGTTTCCTAACACACAGAACACAAAAAGTAGTAGTGAACAGGGCAAGATCCAGCATCAGTGAGGTCCAAAGCTTAGTGCCCCAAGGCACTGTCCTGGCACCTCTGCTGTTCCTCATCCTCATAGCAGACATAGACAAAAAACACCCAGCACACTTTTGTATCATCATTTGCAGATGACACTAAAATAAGCATGAAAGTCAGTATGGTAGAGGACACTGAAAAAGTACAGGAAGACATAAACAGGGTTTTCCAGTGGGCAGTGGAGAACAACATGACGTTCAATGATGATAAGTTCCAGCTGCTTAGGTATGGAAAGAATGAAGAACTCAAAAGGAGCACTATATACAAAACTCAAGAGGGTCACCAAATAGAATGTAGGGAACATGTTAAAGACCTAGGAATAATTATGTCAGCAGACCTTTCTTTTAAAGACCATAACAAGACAAAGATCACAACAGCCAGGAAGATGATAGGGTGGGTATTGAGAACTTTCAAAAAAAAGGGAAATAATGCCGATGGTGACACTCTTCAAATCGCTAGTGCTCCCTCACTTAGAATATGCTCAGTGCTGACGGCCCTGTTCAAGGCAGGAGAAATATCGGAGCTGGAACAAATAGAGAGATCGTTTACGGGTCACAATGAGCCAGTAAAGCACCTAAACTACTGGGAACCCCTGCAAGTCTTGAACATATACTCATTAGAGCAGAGGAGAGAGAGGTACATGATAATATATACCTGGAAGGTACTTGAGGGCTTGGTCCCAAATCTGCACACTGCCATAACAACATACTGGAGTGAGAGATGTGGAAGGAAGTGTAAAATAAACCCAGTGAGGAGCAGGGGTGCAGTGAGGACAATAAAGGAACACTGTATCAATATCTGGGGTCCCAGACTTTTCAACATCTTACCAGAAGATATCAGAAACACTGCTGTAACAAGTGTAGAAGCCTTCAAGAGAAAACTGGACAAGTATCTTCACCAGGTGCCAGATCAACCAGGCTGTGATGGATATGTGGGGCAGCAGGCCTCCAGCAGCAACAGCCTGGTTGACCAGGCAAGCACTAGACGAGCCTGGCCCATGGCCGGGGTCAGAGAGTAGATAAACTCTCGAAACTCTTCAAAGGTCCTAGTCTTAAAGCTACGAAATTTTGTGTGTGTGAGGCTTGGCCATGCAGCAGGCATATATGAATATGTTAGAAAGTAGTGAATAGAGGCAAATAGTTTTTGGGACTTGATGAGCTGTTGGAGTGTGAGCAAGGTAACATTCAGTGAAGAAATTCATGGAAATTGGTTAGCTGGACTTGAGTCCTGAAGGTGGGAAGTACAATGCTTGCATTCTGAGAGAGGTGTGAATATTTGAACTGTAGCATTTGCCTGCCTCTGGCAAGACAGTGATAAAGTGAATAATGGTGAAAGTGGGAGGCAGCCAGTGTTAAAAACCTCTCACATACTAATTTCTCCTTCCTCACCACCTTCTTTATATTGTCATTCCACAATCAATCCTCTTTTCACCAGCACTAACCCTTCTATAACCACAAATTTTTACTGGTCACTTTAGTACCACATTCTTAAATTTACCCCACTGCTCTTGAACCTCTATCATTTCAATGACACAAAAAAAAATCATTTGTAGTTTCGGATTTAACCAATCTGTAATGGATCAAATGCATAATAGGACACATAAATAGGTACGCGAGTCACACCACGATTTGCTATTAAATCCTCTAATAACACGATAAACAGCCGTTACACGGATCTGATCACACAGATGCTTGTTGATTTGCTCTTGCAAGTCAGGCACAGATGCTGCAAAGAGGAGAGTATAGTAGTATTAAAGATGTGTGTGTGTGTGTGTGTGTGTGTGGTGTGTGTGTGTGTGTGTGTGTGTGTGTGTGTGTGTGTGTGTGTGTGTGTGTGTGTGTGTGTTATACTAGGTGTCAAAGGCACTTACTGATAGACACTTGCCATGTTTTGTATATGTGCGTGGTTATATATGGATTGTGTGCACGTGTGTTAAAGTATATGTATATATACTGGTGTGAATGAGTGTCTTTTGGTGCATGTGTGTAATGGTGTGTGTCACGTGTTTGTGTTGTGTAGGTGTATGTTGCGTATAGGTGTGTACTCACCTAATTGTGGTTACAGGGGTCGAGACTCAGCTCCTGGCCCCGCCTCTTCACTGAACGGTACTAGGTCCTCTCTCTCCTTGCTCCATGAGCTTTATCATACCTCATCTTAAAGCTATGTATGGTTCCTGCCTCCACTACCTCATTTGCAGGACTATTCCACATCCTGACTACTCTATGACTGAAGAAATACTTCCTAACATCCCTTTGACTCATCTGAGTCTTCAACTTCCAAGTGTGACCCTTGTTTGTGTGTCCCCTCTTTGGAACATCCTGTCTGTGTGTGTGTTGCTTGTGTAGTGTGTAGATGTGCTTGTGTCTGTGTGTGTGTCTCATGTATTCCCACAGCCTGGCCCCAGGGTAGGCTTGTCTGGTGCATGCCTGATCAACCAAACTGTTGCTGTGGTGACCCACTGGCCCACATATCTGCCACTGCCTAGTGATCTGGCATTTGGTTGAGGAACATGCCCAATTTGCTCTTGAAGATTCCTACAATAGTTCTTGCAGCATTTTTGATGTCTTGTGGTAGTGTTAAACAGTCTGGGAGCACAGATGTTAAAACAATCTTTTCTTACTGTACCCACGGTGCCCCTGCTTTTCAGTGGGTTTATTTTACACATTCTCCCATCTTTCCCACTCCAATGTGTTATGGCAGTGTGAAGATTGGGACCAGGCCCTCAAGTACCTTCTAGATATATATTACCTGGTACCTCTCTCCTCCATAGGTAGTAGGTTGGTAGACAGCAGCCACCCAGGAGTTACTACCGTCCTGCCAAGTGAGTGTGAAATGGAAGCCTGTAATTGTTTTACATGATGGTAGGATTGCTAGTGTCTTTTTTCTGTCTCATAAACATGCAAGATTTCAGGTATGTCTTGCCACTTCTACTTACACTTAGGTCACACTGCACATGCATACACAAGCATATATATACACACTTCCCTCTGGGTTTTCTTACCTGTTCTTCTTCTTGTTTATTTCCACTTATCTCCATGGGGAAGTGAAACAGAATTCTTCCTCCATAAGCCATGCATGTCGTAAGAGGCAACTAAAATGCCAGGAGCAAGGGCCTAGTAACCCCTTCTCCTGTATACATTACCAAAGTTAAAAAGAGAAACTTTTGTTTCTCTTTTTGGGCCACCCTGCCTCGGTGGGATATGGCCGGTTTGTTGAAAGATCTCTCTCTCTCTCTCTCTCTCCTCCTTCATTAAGCAGAGAGCAAAACACTTTCCCCTTCTAACATTATTACCCATCACATTCACCATCATCTGAGCTTCATTAACCATAGTGTAGAGTTTGACCCAAAGGCAGATGAGCTCACTCTTGAAGCTGCATGGGCCTACTTGCAACTGGTGTATGAAGGTCCAGATTTCAACCATCTGTTGCCATACGTTTCATTGATCACAAGTTTGTCCTGCCACTGGCAACAACTTTTCATGAAGACTGCCACTCCTGGATCTGTAGGCAACCTCCAGAAGTACTTCCACCATCAATGGCCCTGCCAGATGGTTACCCGAATTCTTACCAGAGGCTCACCTGACACGCCCCAAGATGATCCAATTTCAATTGGGTAGAATAACCCAACCACCACAATATTACCAACAGATGCTACACTAGAACAGGGCCAATAGTGATTCCTTTTTATTTTGTGTAAAAGTGGAACTTCACAAAAAGTGAAATCATCTTCTTTCAACAAACCGGCCATATCCCACCAAGGCAGGGTAGCCCAAAAGAAAAAAAACAAGCGTTTTTCCTTTTAAATTTAGTAATATATACAGGAGGGGTTACTAGCCCCATGCTCCTGGATTTATAGTCATATTTCTTACGACATGCATGGCTTACAGAGGAAGAATTCTGTTCCACTTCCCCATGGAGAAAAGGTAAAATATCTGCACTGATGAGGCAAAAAGGAGAGGGAGGGTTGGAGGTACATTATTTAGATTTGCTCTGAAGAATGGGAGAAGTGGTCAGATCCCCTGAACAAGAGCTCCTTTTGTTATTGTAAGGAACTCCATCTGCTTTCCTTTCCTTCCAGGGGTAATGCATGTAGTGCATACCGGATTTTAGTTGTAGTTGCAAAATTTACCTGCCATCTTACGTATTTATGAGAAAGAAAAGACCAGCAATCTTACCATGGTAAAAGTTAACAGATTCTTGTTTCACATTCAAATGACTGGATGGTAATACCTTCCTGGATAGTTGCAGTCTACCAGCTTACTACAATACCTACAATTATTACTTGACTATTATTATTAAACTATTTATATATAGTGGACCCCAGAGTTTCGTCGGCATCGACTTTCATGAAATCTAACTTTCGGCAAGTTTTTTCGGCAAAATTTAGCCTCGTGGTTCGTGATTGGACTCGTGATTTGGCAACCATCCGGTACCCGTCCGCACGTCACTGTGCACACAAAGCCAGTCTCCCACACCATTCACACTCAGTGTGCCATTGTTTACCAGCATGTGACCATCACACCGCAGGTTCATACAATAAATTTCATAATAATCCATTGTTTTTTGTGCTTGCAACTGCTAAATAAGTCACCATGGGCCCAACGAAAGCTAGTGCAAGCCCTTTGGTAAAGAAAGCGAGGAACACGATCGAATTCAATAAGGAAATCATTGAAAAATATGAGAGAGGAGTGCGTGTTACAGAACTTGCCAGGATGTATGGCAAACCCCATTCAACCATCACTTCGATCGTGGTGAAGGGAAAGGAAATAAAGTGTGCTGTTGTTGCAAAAGGGGTAGATATGCTGACAAAAAAGAGATTGCAAATCCTCGAAGAAGTGGAAAGGTTATTGTTGGTTTAGATTACCCAAAATGTTAGCAGGAGATAGCATTATGCAGTCGATAGTATGTGAAAAGGCAAGGCAGTTGCATGACGATCTCATAAAGAAAATGCCTGCAACGAGTGGTGATGCTTGTGATTTTAAAGCCAGCAAAGGTTGGTTTGAGAGATTTAAGAAGCATAGTGGCATTCACAGTGTGATAAGGCATGGTGAGGCTGCCAGTTCTGACAAAAAAGCAGCTGAGAAGTTTGTACAGGAGTTTAAGAAGTGCATAGACAATGGAGAATTCAAACCCCAACAAGTGTTTAATTGTGACAAAACAGGCCTCTTTTGGAAGAAAATGCCAAAGAGGACCTACATCACGCAGGAGGAAATGGCACTCCCAGGACACAAGCCTATGAAGGATAGGCTTACTCTCATGTTTTGTAGTAATGCTAGTGGGGATTGCAAAGTGAAGCCTTTACTGGTGTATCACTCTGAAAATCCCAGAGTGTTCAAGAAAAATAGTGTCGCCAAGAGTAATTTCTGTGTGATGTGGAAGGCTAACAATAAGGCATGGGTCACAAGGGGAATTTTCCTAGAATGGTTTAATGAAGTGTTTGGCCCCATTGTGAAGAAATACCTCCTGGAAAATAAATTGCCACTCAAGTGCCTCCTAGTAATGGACAATGTTCCTGCTCATCCTCCAGATTTGGAAGAGCAAATAGTGGAGGAGTTTAGTTTCATTACAGTGAAGTTCTTGCCCCCTAATACAACTCCTGTCATCCAGCCCATGGACCAGCAGGTCATTTCAAACTTCAAAAAACTGTACACCAAAGCAGTGTTTCAACAGTGCTTTGAAGTGACCTCAAGACACTGAATTGACCCTAAGAGAGTTCTGGAAAGATCACTTCAATATCCTCACTTGCATAAACCTTATAGGTAAGGCTTGGGAAGGAGTGACTTGCAGAACTTTGAATTCTGCTTGGAGAAAATTGTGGCCAGAATGTGTACAAGAGAGGGATATTGAAGGGCTTGGGGCTGACCCTAAGGAGCCTATGCCAATTGTGAAATCTATTGTGGCATTGGGGAAGTCCCTGGAGTTGGAGGTGAGTGGCGAGGATGTGGAAGAGTTGGTGGAGGACCACAGGGAAGAGCTAACCACTGAAGAGCTGCAAGAGCTTCATCTGCAGCAGCAAGAGATCACAGCTCAGGAAATTGCTGCAGAGGAGGAGGAAGAGAGATCGAGGAAGGTGCCTTCTTCAAAGATTAAGGACATTTGTGTAAAGTGGACTGAAGTGCAAACATTTATGGATGAACTTCACCCTAACAAAGCTGTTGCAGGCCATATTGGCAACAGGTACAATGACAGTGTTGTGTCCCACTTCAGACAAATCTTAAAGAAACACCAGAAACAGAGCTCTCTGGACAGATATTTTGTGCAACAAGGGTCCAGTGACTCTCAAGTTGTTCCCAGTGTCTTTAAAAAACAAAGAAGGGAAGTAACCCGAGATAAGAACTTTGTACCTGAAGTCCCAATGGAAGGAGATTCTCTTCCAAACAGTAGTGTACACCTTCCTCCTATCCCCTCCTCCCATCTTCCATCCACCCAGAAGTCTTCAGTAAAGGTAAGTGTAATGTTATTATTATCTTTTATATATATGTAGTACTTGATTTCTCATTGTTTTCAGTATGTAAATCTTTATTTAATTTGAAAAAAAAAAAATTTTTTTTAATATTTTTGGGTGTCTGGAACGGATTAATTTTATTTCTATTACTTCTTATGGGGAAAATGATTTCGCCATTCGGCAATTTCGACATTCGGCAGACTCTCTGGAACGGATTAATCACGAAACTCGGGGATCCACTGTATCAGAAATACAAATTATTTCTTACGAAGCTCAGCAGACACCAACAGCCGAGCTGCAGACACTCCCTTGTCAGTTCGAGAAGACCGTTGGTATTGAAAAAATTGTGGAACACTGGCTTCCTCATCTGTTATCAAGTCTGCTGCTTGCATGGCTGCAAACAAATCTCCTTCAATAGTACGGCAAAACACGTTCCTGTAAGCGTAAAGATATCACATTATCATTGTAAGCAAATAAAATTTAATAAAAGCTTTATATTAGTTCCTATTCCTTGTCCCTCTTCTAAACACCAAAGACCTCACACTTGTACCCATGAAAACTTGCAGAATTTTATAGATCACAAAGTGTGTTTCTTAGATTGCAGTTAACCCACAATTTTCTTTGTATTGACTAGGGTATAATAAATTAGTTAATTATATATTCAAATTTTACTAGAAACTACCAGTAAATTTTTTTTTTTGTGTTCCCATTGTTTGGCTTGGCACATGACCTTTATCTTGAACGACCATGGAATTGCACTTAAATATCCTTATAGAATTTCTCACACCAAAATCTTTCTTCTTTATTGATACTGTTATGATGAATGATGGTGAAAGTTTTTCTTTTTCGGGCCACCCTGCCTTGGTGGGAATCGGCCAGTGTGATAATAAAAAATAAAAAAAAGATACTGCTATCAATGACAATATTAATACAGTTAAAGCAATATGCAAAAATATAGTATAGCCTCTGAAACTCAAACTAAACCTAAAACTGAAGAAATTATTATACAGTATATAGTGATAACCAGCTAACCGGTTAGCCAGACTTGAGTCCTGGAGGTGGGATATACAGTGACTGCCCTCTAAAGGAGGGGTTTGGGATATATATTTGGAGAGACATCTGAATTGCCACATCTGCGCACCTCTGGCAAGACAGTAATAGTGTGAATGATGGCGTTTCTTTTTTGGGTCACCCTGCCTCAGTGGAAGACGGCCAGCACATTAAAAAAAATTAGTAGTACTGCTTCTGGATTCACTAGGATCTCTAGGACATAACCCCTGCAATTTTTAGAAGCACTACGTAGTGACTAATAAACATTTTTTGCTATACATTTATATCTTCTTTCAACAAAGCGGCTGTATCCCACCGAGGCAGGGTGGCCCAAAAAGAAAAACAAAAGTTTCTCTTTTTTAAATTTAGTCATTTATACAGGAGAAGGGGTTACTAGCCCCTTGCTCCCAGCATTTTAGTCGCCTCTTACAACACGCATGGTTTACGGAGGAAGAATTCTGTTCCACTTCCCCATGGAGATAAGAGGAAATAAACAAGAACAAGAACTAGAAAGAAAATAGCAGAAAACCCAGAGGGGTGTGTGTGCATATATGCTTGTACATGTATGTGTAGTGTGACTTAAGTGTCAGTAGAATTAGCAAGACGTACCTGAAATCTTGCATGTTCATGAGACAGAAAAAAAGACACCAGCAATCCTACCATCATGTAAAACAATTACAGGCTATCGTTTTACACTCACTTGGCAGGACAGTAGTACCTCCCTGGGTGGTTGCTGTCTACCAACCTACTACCTATATACATTTATATATACTCTTTTATTTTAGTCCATGTTTCATGGACTAAAAAAAATCAAATGAATACAATATAATGAATACAAATAATTGTAAAATAAAAATTCATACAGTATATGATAATCATACACATGATGACAATAAATGATGTGGTATGAAAGTGCTCAGAGAGCCCGCTATGTTTGTTATTGTTTGTTTTTGAACTGCGTGGTGGTAAGAGGTGCTCCTTACAATTTTCGCTTTGCAAACATTTCCTAGATTTAACCCTGTTGCACTGAGTGCTCAAGGTGTGCTGTGCACCCCTGATGTCTATGACCACAAAAAACAAGAGAAGTGTGACATTAGAAACAAACCTAAAAGTTTTAAAGAGGTGCGAGGTGCGATTGCATTATAAATCGTTTTGCTTAAAGTCGCAGTTCCCAAGAACCTATCAATGACGTTAAGTGAGAACTTTCTGTATTCACCTTCATCTACTACAATAGGAAGTAAATGGCAACTGATGAGAGAGAAAGATCAGTAATTAGAAGTAAAGCAGATGGCAGAAGAGGTAGAAAAACCTGTATATAAGCAATCAACACTCTTAGTTACACAAGAAGTTCAATGTTATTGGTACAGTTGCAGGCTCTGAGTGAACAGGACCCTGACACATCTAGAAGTATTGCTGTGAAATGTGGTCAGGAGCAGGTTATGATGCTTTAGTGTCAGCAGTATAAAATGCTGCAGGGTAAAATAAACACATACAGAATACTTGAGCATTCCAATACATCCAGCAATTACTGACACCTTTGCATATGCATCTACATCAATGCAAGAACCATAGCCATCCACCTCATTCCAGTATGGCCTCATTAACCCTCTTCATTCATTGTCATTTAAGAAGCAATGCCAATTAGAATATAAAGTAGGAACAACTATAGATGCCATAGGATATATAAAAAAAAGCTGCTTTGAAAATTTGGAGGCATCTGTTATTCAACGCTTTTTCCTGTATGTTTTTCACATCAATTAGAACTATTTTGGATTGGATACTAATTTTCAGAAATGTAACCTACACTTGAACTTACAATTTACTGCATGTGAAATGACAATTTACTGTATATCTAACGAAACCTGCTTAAGCAATTTCTAATCTTGCATTTATGTTCATGATGGCGGTTTTCATTATGTCACTCTGCCTTGTTGGAAGACACCCAATGAGTAAAAAAAAAAAAAAAAAAAAAAAAAAAAAAAAAAAAAAAAAAAAAAAAAAAAAAAAAAAATAATAATTAATAATAATAATAATATAATAATAATAATAATAATAATTACAGGTAGTAGGTTGGTAGACAGCAACCACCCAGGGAAGTACTACCGTCCTGCCAGATGACTGTGAAACAAAAACCTGTAACTGTTTTGCATGATGGTAGGATTGCTGGTTTCTTTTTCTGTCTCATAAACACGCTAAGATAAACAGGGATATCTTGCTACTCCTACTTACACTTTGGTCACACTTCACAGACACGCACATGCATATATATATATACATACATCTAGGTTTTTCTCCTTTTTCTAAATAGCTCTTGTTCTTTTTTATTTCTTCTATTGTCCATGGGGAAGTGGAAAAGAATCTTTCCTCCGTAAGCCATGCGTGTCGTATGAGGCGACTAAAAATGCCGGGAGCAATGGCTAGTAACCCCTTCTCCTGTATACAATTACTAAAAAAGAGAAGAAGAAAAACTTTATAAAACTGGGTTGCTTAAATGTGCGTGGATGTAGTGCGGATGACAAGAAACAGATGATTGCTGATGTTTATGAATGAAAAGAAGTTGGATGTCCTGGCCCTAAGCGAAACAAAGCTGAAGGGGGTAGGAGAGTTTCAGTGGGGGGAAATAAATGGGATTAAATCTGGAGTATCTGAGAGAGTTAGAGCAAAGGAAGGGGTAGCAGTAATGTTAAATGATCAGTTATGGAAGGAGAAAAGAGATATGAATGTGTAAATTCAAGAATTATGTGGATTAAAGTAAAGGTTGGATGCGAGAAGTGGGTCATAATAAGCGTGTATGCACCTGGAGAAGAGAGGAATGCAGAGGAGAGAGAGAGATTTTGGGAGATGTTAAGTGAATGTATAGGAGCCTTTGAACCCAAGTGAGAGAGTAATTGTGGTAGGGGACTTGAATGCTAAAGTAGGAGAAACTTTTAGAGAGGGTGTGGTAGGTAAGTTTGGGGTGCCAGGTGTAAATGATAATGGGAGCCCTTTGATTGAACTTTGTATAGAAAGGGGTTTAGTTATAGGTAATACATATTTTAAGAAAAAGAGGATAAATAAGTATACACGATATGATGTAGGGCGAAATGACAGTAGTTTGTTGGATTATGTATTGGTAGATAAAAGACTGTTGAGTAGACTTCAGGATGTACATGTTTATAGAGGGGCCACAGATATATCAGATCACTTTCTAGTTGTAGCTACACTGAGAGTAAAAGGTAGATGGGATACAAGGAGAATAGAAGCATCAGGGAAGAGAGAGGTGAAGGTTTATAAACTAAAGAGGAGGCAGTTAGGGTAAGATATAAACAGCTGTTGGAGGATAGATGAGCTAATGAGAGCATAGGCAATGGGGTCGAAGAGGTATGGGGTAGGTTTAAAAATGTAGTGTTAGAGTGTTCAGCAGAAGTTTGTGGTTACAGGAAAGTGGGTGCAGGAGGAAGAGGAGCGATTGGTGGAATGATGATGTAAAGAGAGTAGTAAGGGAGAAAAAGTTAGCATATGAGAAGTTTTTACAAAGTAGAAGTGATGCAAGGAGGGAAGAGTATATGGAGAAAAAGAGAGAAGTTAAGAGAGTGGTGAAGCAATGTAAAAAGAGAGCAAATGAGAGAGTGGGTGAGATGTTATCAACAAATTTTGTTGAAAATAAAAAAAAGTTTTGGAGTGAGATTAACAAGTTAAGAAAGCCTAGAGAACAAATGGATTTGTCAGTTAAAAATAGGAGAGGAGAGTTATTAAATGGAGAGTTAGAGGTATTGGGAAGATGGAAGGAATATTTTGAGGAATTGTTAAATGTTGATGAAGATAGGGAAGCTGTGATTTCGTGTATAGGGCAAGGAGGAATAACATCTTGTAGGAGTGAGGAAGAGCCAGTTGTGAGTGTGGGGGAAGTTCGTGAGGCAGTAGGTAAAATGAAAGGGGGTAAGGCAGCCGGGATTGATGGGATAAAGATAGAAATGTTAAAAGCAGGTGGGGATATAGTTTTGGAGTGGTTGGTGCAATTATTTAATAAATGTATGGAAGAGGGTAAGGTACCTAGGGATTGGCAGAGAGCATGCATAGTTCCTTTGTATAAAGGCAAAGGGGATAAAAGAGAGTGCAAAAATTATAGGGGGATAAGTCTGTTGAGTGTACCTGGTAAAGTGTATGGTAGAGTAATAATTGAAAGAATTAAGAGTAAGACGGAGAATAGGATAGCAGATGAACAAGGAGGCTTTAGGAAAGGTAGGGGGTGTGTGGACCAGGTGTTTACAGTGAAACATATAAGTGAACAGTATTTAGATAAGGCTAAAGAGGTCTTTGTGGCATTTATGGATTTGGAAAAGGCGTATGACAGGGTGGATAGGGGGGCAATGTGGCAGATGTTGCAAGTGTATGGTGTAGGAGGTAGGTTACTGAAAGCAGTGAAGAGTTTTTACGAGGATAGTGAGGCTCAAGTTAGAGTATGTAGGAAAGAGGGAAATTTTTTCCCAGTAAAAGTAGGCCTTAGACAAGGATGTGTGATGTCACCGTGGTTGTTTAATATATTTATAGATGGGGTTGTAAGAGAAGTAAATGCGAGGGTCTTGGCAAGAGGCGTGGAGTTAAAAGATAAAGAATCACACACAAAGTGGGAGTTGTCACAGCTGCTCTTTGCTGATGACACTGTGCTCTTGGGAGATTCTGAAGAGAAGTTGCAGAGATTGGTGGATGAATTTGGTAGGGTGTGCAAAAGAAGAAAATTAAAGGTGATACAGGAAAGAGTAAGGTTATGAGGATAACAAAAAGATTAGGTGATGAAAGATTGAATATCAGATTGGAGGGAGAGAGTATGGAGGAGGTGAACGTATTCAGATATTTGGGAGTGGACGTGTCAGCGGATGGGTCTATGAAAGATGAGGTGAATCATAGAATTGATGAGGGAAAAGAGTGAGTGGTGCACTTAGGAGTCTGTGGAGACAAAGAACTTTGTCCTTGGAGGCAAAGAGGGGAATGTATGAGAGTATAGTTTTACCAACGCTCTTATATGGGTGTGAAGCGTGGGTGATGAATGTTGCAGCAAGGAGAAGGCTGGAGGCAGTGGAGATGTCATGTCTGAGGGCAATGTGTGGTGTGAATATAATGCAGAGAATTCGTAGTTTGGAAGTTAGGAGGAGGTGCGGGATTACCAAAACTGTTGTCCAGAGGGCTGAGGAAGGGTTGTTGAGGTGGTTCGGACATGTAGAGAGAATGGAGCGAAACAGAATGACTTCAAGAGTGTATCAGTCTGTAGTGGAAGGAAGGCGGGGTAGGGGTCGGCCTAGGAAGGGTTGGAGGGAGGGGGTAAAGGACGTTTTGTGTGCGAGGGGCTTGGACTTCCAGCAGGCATGCGTGAGCGTGTTTGATAGGAGTGAATGGAGACAAATGGTTTTTAATACTTGACGTGCTGTTGGAGTGTGAGCAAAGTAACATTTATGAAGGGATTCAGGGAAACCGGCAGGCCGGACTTGAGTCCTGGAGATGGGAAGTACAGTGCCTGCACTCTGAAGGAGGGGTGTTAATGTTGCAGTTCAAAAACTGTAGTGTAAAGCACCCTTCTGGCAAGACAGTGATGGAGTGAATGATGGTGAAAGTTTTTCTTTTTCGGGCCACCCTGCCTTGGTGGGAATCGGCCAGTGATAATAATAATAATAATTATAATAATCATTACAATTAATAATCTTATCTCAAAGTTAATTTAAATATACCTAGCATTCAGACAATCTAACTTCACCTATACAATCATATAGTGTCAAGTAGTTTTAACCCTTTCAGGGTCCATCCCATAGATCTACGGCTTTACGTTCAGGGTCCAAACCGTAGATCTACGTCATGAGCTCAGCTCACTCTGATAAACTGTGAGTGGTACATTTGGGCCTAGATATGAGAGAACACATCTATGTGGTATGTGTGCACCACATAAAACAGATCCTGCAGCACACTGTGTATAATGAGAGAAAAAAACTGAAATCATGATTTTTCGATTAAAACAGCGACTTTGCAGTGTTATTTCGTATGATTTTTATAGTTGTATTTGCGATTTCTTGGTCTAATTTGATAGAATGGAAGACATATTACAGAAATAGAGATGATTCTGATTGGTTTTAGCACTGGAAATGGCTTGAAACTGAGCTCAAAGTAGCAGAAATGTTAAATTTTTGCCGATATTCAAGAGTAAACAAACGACCTCACACGTCTAATACATGCCAGCTGGTGGGTCTAGTATGCATTCACAAATATGGTGATGATATTTATACAATTATTACAGTATTGCATAACAGTAAATCTTCTATTTTTTGGTGTGAATAAAAATTCATTATGTGAATAAAAAATCAAAATGGAATTTATTTGTAAAGCCTCAAAACATAACTAACGAACAGAGGAAATGTTAGTTTAGTTCCAGGAATACCTACACTGTTTATTCTGGACCCTATTTTGAAAATGGAATATTTTGAACTTTGTGTTAAATTGGCCAAATTAACAATTTCCGATCACTTTAATTTGTAGTTGAACAGTTGACTTGGCAATTTCTTGTGCTCAATCGATAGAATAGAAGTAATACTAGAGAAATAGCTAAGAATTTGGTTGACTGGAATAATGTAATTGGCCTAAAATGGGAGTCAAAGTCGGCAAAATCGCCGATTCGTAAATATCGCTGACACATCAAAATTCGCGAGAGCATAATTTCGTCAATTTTCCATCAAATTTCGTACTTTTTGTTTTATTACCTTCACAAAAAGATTCTCTACCATTTCATAAGAAAAAATAACAATTTTTTTTTTTTTAAATTCTTGGGCACTGGGGCACCACTTCAGATTTGGGCCTTGGACCCTGAAGGGGTTATTAAGTTATAGTATGTCTGCCTGAAATACTCTGCATGCAACCAGCAGTAACAGCCTGGTCCCAGACCGGGCCGCAGGGGCAATGACCCCCGAAACCTTCTCCAGGTATACTCAAGGTGTAACCAAGGGCTTTTCAAAATGTATGAAATGTCACATAATTTTGTGATATTGCATTTTGGAAAATGGCCAGTGTAAAAAAAAAAAAATCCTGTTTGAATACATATCTGCAGATCAGTGTTTATAAATAATTAAATGGTTCTCTTGCCTTGATCACAAGTGCAGATGAAAGTAACTCTCATGACTGTGAGTCAGGGACTTGCTGTACATTACATATGAGCCAGCCTTACGTTAAACTACATTATATCACAGTACTTTAAAATGACTAATAAAAGACATTTTTATTTTAGGCAAAGAAAACGCTATCTCAGTTTGACATAATCCTTACTTTTGTAATCCCTGGTATCCTTGGCCACTGAAGGACAAAAGTAGGGCAAATTTCTTTTTCTGCTCTTTTGGAATTTCAAGTATAGGATTCAGTTTTATGTGCTTCACATCAGCCTCTGGTATCTCCTGCTCAGGTACGTATTTCACACCTGTACCTGTCAGAAATATCGAGTTCTTAGCTTGAATATTTATATGAAGATTATTAATTTTAAAGGCTAAGATCCAATTACATATACAGTAGGACCCCGGTATCTGTGGGTCCGGTATCTGCAGTTTCAATTATGTTTACCATGACCCAAAAATAACCCTTAATTTTGCTTAACCCTTTCACTGTTGCAACCCTTGCTCACAAACTTGCTCTCAGTGTCGGAGAATTTTCAAAAAAAAAAAAAAAAAAATTCTTATGATAGAGAATCTTTTCCCAATGATAACAAAACCAAAAGTATGAAATTTTATTGAAAAACTTATGGAATTACACTCTCACAAAGTTGGTCTTGGTGATATTGACACATTGGTGATTTTGCCCACTTTGAGCCCTATTTTGGGCCAATTTCATTGTTCCAGTCAACTATATTTGAAGCTACAATGGAACCTCAAAAATCAAACGTATTAAATATCAAACGTTTCGAAAATAAGACCATTTTTTCGGACAAACTGTGTCCCAATTGCCGAATGCGCCCCTAATTTCAGACCGCCAGGTACGGGACCTGTCCGCTGGCCCACTCTGTCCGCGTCCCCGCGCAGGCGCCGTGAGCAGACTAGCTTTGTTTATGCTTGAGTGAACACTAACCTGTGATCTCATTCACACATTTTACGATTATTTGTGTTTAGTGCTTGTGGGGCTGTGAAATAAGCTGCCATGGGCTGAAAGAAACTTGCTAGTAGTACCCCAGTGGTAAAGAAAGTGAGAAGCACCATAGATGTGAAGAAGGAAATAATACAGAAGTTTGAGTATTGGAGTGAGACTTGTTGAGCTTGCCAGGATATACAGAGACTGTGGACATTTATTTTGTGGAGACAGAAACAGAGATTGTGGACAGTTATTTTGTGAGACAGAAAACAGTGACTGTGGAGTTATATTTGTGAGACAGAACAGCATCGACTGTGGAGTTATTTTGTGAGACAAACAGACGATTGTGGACAGTTATTTTGTGAGACAAACAGACGACTGTGGAGTTATATTGTGAGACAGAAACAGACGACGTGGAGTTTATTTTGTGAACAACAGACGATTTGAGGAGTTATTTGGAGACAAACAGACGACAGTGGATTTAAATTTTGTGAGCAGGAAGACAGATGGACTGTGGAGTTATTTGTGAGACAAACAGACGATTGTGGACAGTTATTTTGAGAGACAGAAACAGACGACTGTGGACAGTTATTTTGTGAGACAAACAGACGACTGTGGAGTTATTTTGTGAGACAAACAGACGACTGTGGACAGTTATTTTGTGAGACAGAAACAGACGACTGTGGAGTTATTTTTTGAGACAGAAACAGACGACTGTGGACGTTATTTTGTGAGACAAACAGACGATGTGGAGTTATTTTGTGAGACAAAACAGACGATTGTGGAAGTTATTTTGTGAGACAGAAACAGACGACTGTGGAGTTATTTTTTGAGACAGAAACAGACGATTGTGGACAGTTATTTTGTGAGACAGAAACAGATGACTGTGGACAGTTATTTTGTGAGACAGAAACAGACGACTGTGGATAGTTATTTTGTGAGACAGAAACAGAGGACTGTAGACAGTTATTTTGCGAGACTGGGGTCCAATGACTCTCAAGCTGGTCCTAGTGGCATTAAAATACAGAGAAGGGAAGCAACCCCAGAGAGGGCTTTGATACCGGAAGTCCTCATGGAGGGGGATTCTCCTTCCAAACAATAACCCCATCTCCCTCTCTCCTCCTCCCTATCTTCCAGATGCTATCACCAATCTTCAATAAAGGTAAGTAAAAATGTTATTTTATATTACAATACATAATTAAAGACCATAGCATTTGTTGTGTGTATGTAAAACTGTAATTAATCTCTATAAAATGTATTATTTTTGTGAATATTTTTGGGTTTCTGGAACGGATTAATTGTATTTCCATTATTTCTTATGGGAAATATTGCTTTGAATTTCAGACTTTTCGAATTTAGAACTAGCTCCTGGAACGGATTAAGTTCGATTTTTGAGGTTCCACTGTATTTCACTAGCACTCCTTCTGTTCCATAGATGGAGTACAATAAACTGTCCATTTACCTATTTCAACTACCCAATAAAGTGATCAGAAATTGGTAATTTGGCCAATTTCATATAAAATTCAAGAAAGGACAATTTCAAAATAGGGTCCAGAATAAACAATGCAAACATTCCTAGCACTAAAATACCATTTTCTCTGTTCACTAGTCATGTCCCCAGCTCCCTCTTATATATTATGCTTGCTTTCCATTTTGAATTTTTATTCACACAAAAAATAGAAGATTTACTGTTATGCAATAGTTTGTAAAACAGGACAATATCAGGCATTTTGAAGAGGGTGAAGATATAAACATGGTAAAAATCGAATTTCATTTTGTCCTTTCAGCTATTTGGTCGAACCATTCAATATCTTTTTGCAATATTTATTCTACGAACCAAAAAACAATAAACCATACAAATGACCACTGCTTTTAAATGGTTTTATATACGCTTGGGGTCAATTGACATTGACCATCGACATTTCTCATTGTACTACTTCTCCAAACTAGAATTGTCCATAAAATGGCTCAAACATTTCCACTAAAGTTTGAGGATACTTTCAAGCTACTTTTGTCTGTAAACCATTCAAAATATCATCTATTTCGTCAATATACCTTCCATTCTTCCAATGAGGACCATAGAAACATTTTATTAAACTATACAAAATGGCACCACAGTCGCATGTTTTAACCAAAACCATAGTCGCAGTTTTTTCTCATTATGCACTGCCTTGCAGGTGCAGGCATGTTTCCTTTATTGCACACATTGCCCCTCTGAACCCATTGTCTCATTTGTAGGCCTACCACTCAGCTTTCTCCCCGCAAAGATGTGGAAGCCAGCTGAAATTTTGACCGTGCTATTTTAGGGCCCCTGACACTCGCCTTCAAGCGTAATAATTATGAACCAATCATGAAATGTGTTAATAATGCCCACATGTGAAAAATGATAATTCTCCACTTATTGTGCATAATTTATCAGATTAAACTTCCAAATAAGATTTGCATGTAATAAACACGACTTCATAAACAGGTTCACTACTCGCAGTTTCAGTGTCCATGGCAGGTCACTGGAATGTATCCCCCACAAATACGGGGGTCCTAATGTACAAGGGTAAATGATAAAAATAACCTACCGTATTCTTCGGCATATGAAGTGTGTTTTTTTTTTTTTTTACCAAGAAAAGTCTCCTAAAATTACCCTGCACCTTATATACTCAAGGTCAGGGTCAAAGGTAAGTTTTGGGTTACTGGCAAGTGGAGTTTTATAAATGGACATGCAGTTCATTATGGCAATAAAGTTGCAATACTTGTAATGCTCGTGTGCTTTATATGCCAGAAAATATGGTAAATTAGAATGACAAGAACTGGTGCAAATGGATAAGAACACAAAACTGAGTCATTATGATTAGCTGCTTTGCTTATAAAAGAGTTAATCATGTCCTGAAGACTTCATAAAACTTACACTTGCAAAAATGACATGTGTAAATGCTTCCTTTGTGTCTATTTCAACAATAACCTAATTACAAGTTATTGAATATTTCAGAGAATACAGTACTTACTTGTAAAATCTGATAAAGGTCTTTTATTTCTACCACTGAAGAAAGTCACTGCAACTGCAGGAAGATCCCAGATATTATGGGTAATGATGTAATTGCTTTTCTGTGCCCATGGTCCCGGCCAACTTAATTTCAATAAACCCCTATGCTTGAACATGCTGTACCTGAAATGGCAAGAATAATTAAAAAGAAAATGTCCAAGCAAAAAAATTAATATCAAAACACAATGGGGTACTTTAAAAAATGTTTACTGCAGTATGAAAATATTGTAATATACAAAACTACTACAACAGATCAGGGTTTTCCAGTTAGAAAGGAAAATCCAAGCAATGATATGTGGTAAAATACCCTTATAGGGTAATGTTCATAGTGGGGTACCACAAAGATCATGGCTTGTTCTAATGATGTTCTGGAACTAATCAAATCACAAAATGGATGGGGCCTGAACTCATGGCAGGCGAGTCCTAAATAGGCTTCAGCCTCACCTGTTTTGTGATTTGTTTGTAATCGTGTTACAGTATTACTATTTTATGATTCTTTATCTATATTGCAGAATGAATTAAAAAGCACAGTATTTGAACATATTCACCAATGATGCAAAAATCCTACAAACATTATAATGACTATTTCTGCAGGAATGCCTAGATAGATTAAGCAAGTGAAATAAGAGATAGATGACAGAATTTAACATGGATAAATGCCATATACCTCAATAGAAAATGAAAGCAAACACATTTCATTTAAAAACTATAAACTGTACAATAAAACATTAAGGACATACAATAGAGGAACAAGGTGTAATCACTGACAAATAGTTATCAGAAGATCCTGTGAAAATGTAAATCATTACTTTTTTTTTTTTTGAAATATACATGGAAAATACAATGGGTGGAGGAGTTTGCATTTTTCTTGGTTAGTTCTAATAATATTATGATAATTGAAATTGGATATACAGTGGAACCTCTACTTGCGAGCGCATCCACGTGCGAGTTTTTCCAAATATGAGTAGTTGATGAGTCGATTTTTTGCTTCCATACGCGAGTGAAATTTCCATAAGTGAGCAGACCTCAAGGAAGGTTCCTTGATGCTGGTGAGGGGCTCTTGCTCTTGATCTAGGGAATTGGATATCATTTGTTTGTTGGACTATCTTATTGAAACTTGGCCAATGTGTGATGGAAAGATGCTTTTAATGTACACCAAAAATGAAAGAAATTGGAGCATAAATAATGGAGTTCACTCCCAGCAATTAGCCGCCCCTTAGTGGTATTTTCGTATGGTTTTTATGGCTGTATTCTCGTTTTTTGATCTCATTTGATAGAATGGGATATATATTACAGAAATAGATATGATTTTGATTGCTTTCACGATGAAAAGTACCTTGAAATTGAGCTCATCGTAGGAGAAATGTTCGAATGTTTTGGCTATGTTCAAGAGTAAACAAATGACGTTACTGTCCATTCCAACATGCAGTCATGAATGGGATGACATTATTTATACAAATTATTGCAATAAGGCAGTAGTCTGCATAACAGTGAATCTTATATTTTTTGTGTGAATAAAAATTACAAATTATTTATATTGTTATAATAATAATAATAATACGTTTAATAATAATAGTAATATGTATAACAATAATAGTAGTGTAATAATATAATATAATAATATAATATGTATAATAATAATACATACATAATAATAATGTACTACATAATAATTATAATAATAGACAGCTTCAAAAGGCAGTCACTAAGTGGCAGTATTTACCACAACAAAGAGGGAGCGGTTGTGGCCGCCTCCACCTGTTACATAATGACATTTTATTCATTCTAGAGTATATACATATACATGTATCAGGTTTCTGTTATTTATATTGTTTGTTATGTCATATTATATGAACTGTGATAGATAAATAAGCCCTATAGATGATATTAGCGAAATTATTCAAGAAGCATTTTGTCCGGTCTCCAGATAGACTCGTCCACCGCCGACACCGCCCATACCACTACATGAATGACATATTTTATTCATTTTAGAGTATGTATCAGGTTTCTATGTTATTTATGTTGTTTATGTAATTACAATTATATCATATCAACAATACATGTTTTACCGAGTAACAGAATTGTAATTATGACAATAATCCATGAGCATTTACAATATAACATTTATGTCAGATATAATAGGTAATTTTCAATAATGTTACTAAAGCAGTTGGAAGAGAGGGGTACCTAAGGCATTTTCAGGCAGTGTTTTCCATATTTTTCTGGCCTGTTATCTGCATGGAGTTTCTAACCAGGCTGAGTCGTACATATGGAATATTAAAGACACTTGTTCCTTACATTGTGTCTGTGTTATGTTGCAGCTCTCTATGAAGGATTTGAGCATAAGTGCACAAGTATCTTATTCACTCATCCTAAGGAAGCCTGAAAATCGAAGTCCATATAGTACAACTATGACAGTGAGGATCATACCTCCACTGGGTATATACATGACCTTCATTTTTGTAGAAGGTGCTTCAACCTAACTATCTTGCAATATACTGTTTAAGCATGTCTGAGAAATGCTTTGCTGCACTAAGTGCTGAACTGGCTCTCCTGGTAATTTACACCTGCCTACTACTGGAGAAAAACCATCATATATGCACTCAAAGATCTTTGAGTGCGTATATGATGGCTATTAGAGAGGAAGCATTATTTATGCTAAGACGATATGATGATTACACACTGGGTCTACTTGACTATTACACCCCATAGAATCACAAAAAAAAAAAAAAAAAAAAAAAAAAAAAGACCCACTGGGTCTTCCAAATTTCCCCTCCACACCACTGATCTGCTCATAGGGAGGAATTCAATTAAGTAAGTCTATTCAGGTACAGGTACACATAAATACAATTACATAAAGTGTCACATAGCAGCATATGTGTAGATTACCCAGGATAACCCAAAATAGTCAAAGTGACTTATTTCCATTGGGGTCCTGGTAATATTTCATTTAAAAGTTAAAACAGCTAAGTAATTCAGCTATATAAAAAGAAGTTACAACAAAAGGAGATATACTAGGAATAAGGTACACTGAGTTATTAACATTAATGTTAAAGAGAGGATCAGATCACAGTGATAATAATAATAAATCTTTATTTATTACAAGTACATGTACAAGGTATACAGGTCTAGCTGACATCCTTGTTATGCAGAGCATTTTGGGCAAATTAGGTGTTTTGTCCCAGGATGTGACCCACACCAGTCGACTAACACCCAGGTACCCATTTTACTGATGGGTGAACATAGACAACCAGCATAAGGAAACACGTCCGATGTTTCCACCCTTTCACCGGGAATCGAACTCAGACCCTCACCGTGTGAAGCGAGAGCTTTTGCCACCAGGGCGCAAGGCACATATAGGTACATATAAGTTAGCTGTACAAGAAATCACTCTCCTTCCATTCTGTCACTACATTCAATAAGTACCTCTTGGCTCTCTTCCTGAACTGGCTCATGCTATAACAAGCTTTGACATGTGCAGATAGTATGTTCTGTTCTTTTATTGCTGTACAATAAAAGGTGTTTGAAGTCTGACCACCTACTGTGGGTACTACAAAGTTGTGTTCCCTTCCCTTCCCTTCCCTTCAATATGCTTCATAATGATCAAGTTCATCAACAAAGGCACAAGCCCCTCTCAAGGGGCAAGGAGCCTATCAAGGGGAGGAGCTCCTTACCCTTTGGATCAAGACCCTCTGTCAAAGGGCTCTTGATCCAAGGTATTGGACATACTCCCCCTTCCTTGAATCAAAACTAATTGCCTCCCATTCCCCAGGCACTATGTGACCCCTGCGGATTTAGCGCTTCCCCATATTTTAAGAAAAAAAGTGGCCTCCGTCTGGCAATAAGCTGCCATCAAGAGTACTTCTGTGTTGTAGAAATAAAGGCAATCGCAGACCAAGGCCACCACACCACAGAGTAAATTATTATTATAATCATGGGGAGCGCTAAACCCGTAAATTATACAGCTCCTGTGGGGGGGATGGAAGGTATTCAGACTCAATTCAGGGAGCCGGTGCACAGATCCAATTCCCTAGATCAAGAGCCCCTCAGCAGCATCAAGAGTAAGACCACAGAGTAAAACAATATCACAGGCCGGGGAAACTAAAATTTAAACTAGGAAAGCAAATGCAGTTCAATGGTATTCGTGCGTCAAGGTTGCAACAAATCTTCTCCACACACTGTCAGTAACACATCCACCTGAAATTCCACAGATCAGCTTAAATAAATAATAATTACCGTAATGTTTTTAAATAAACAGCCGCAATATTGCAATCACATGGTGAACTCGAGTAGTCTCACAGAATCATAGGGAACTTGTGTACACAAACCTTACCTGGGTAAATAAGGTATTTAATAAGAATTAAGAGAGTTGAATATCTTAAAGTATTAGATTTTGTAGGAGTGAGTGGCAACTAATACTACTGATCTCTCTCCTTATACCTTACAGATGCCAACTGAAAACAATACTTTATCATTAGTCATTCTCACACTATCTAGACTGTTAGGTCTCATCAGGGATGACTAACTCTAGCAAAGAAAAGAGAGTACTGTAAGGATCTGGGTGAAAGGTTAGAATAATAACGTCAGACGACACACCACCAGGCGGAATGTCCATCCTCGTCCGATTCTGATGTCGTCCTTATTTTCCATTTGCTGGGAGTTCTGTCCTGAAATACTGCAGTGCTTTATTTCAAAACATTTGTGAATCTTTAAACCCAAGTTTAACCTAATCGCGAATTTAGGTAAGCCTGGACGCTAAATTTTTCGACTGGTGCAAGGGTAAAGGTGGAGAGAAGACATTCCGAACACATCGAGCAGCTCTCACGGAACACATCACTGCTTGTAAACTCTCGGTTTTTCGCCTAATTCCGTGATTTCGACATGTCTTGGTGGACTGCCTACGTGGGGAGGACATGCAGATGACCTGGGCAGTTTGTGGGTGGCATCAGAGGTCAAACTAGTGCGTCAAAGTGGCTCTGGCCACCGATTCTTATGAAGACTTAGAATATGATGTCTTCTCAGAGGCAAAGCTTTGTCAGTGAGAGTGTTACAAACGGCCAGAGGAAAAGGTTTTCGTCAGGATCACCGGATTGCCCTCACCTCCAAAAGAAAATTTGCCGACAGACAGACATGATGGAGAGTCAAAAGCTTGCAAATTTTTCCGTAGCTCCTAATGGTGTTAGTAAAAGTACAGTCCTTGGTAAGAAGCAAGGTACTGAGAAGAAGATCTTGGCTATTAAAAATTTTAAAGGTAATCTAAATAATATTTTCTGGAATGAATTTGGTCTTTAGGTGTATGTGCTGCAATAGTATTAATTGTATTTTGTATTACATGGTGTATATTTGAGACATATGGGTAATATGTAAGTTTTGGGAATTTTGAAGTTTTTCCATTTAAACTTTACACAGGTTTTTACTATGTTTAATTTTATTAACTAGTAAGGTAGCTATGTTTCTGCTTAGTGTTCTTGAAGTTATTATAATGTAAATAACTTTATTTCCCCACAAAATGTGTTAGTTACAATAAGTGTTACATAGCTCAGTTGGTATCTACCCTGGTTCACACACTAAGGGACTGGGGTTTGATCCCTGCATGAGTGGAAATGTTGGCCATATTTCCTTTCACTTGCAGCCCTGATTCACCTAGCACTAAGTAGGTACATAAGTGTTAGGTGACAGGTCACATCCTAGGGAAAAGAATTAAAGGATCCCAATGGAAATAAGACATGCAGCCTTGATGACAGCCTGACTTGATTATGTTATCAATGATAATTAAACCTCTGGGTTAATAATCTAGACTAAATCTAAGGTAACTATATAGTACATTATATCCCACAAGGGAAAAACCCTTAGTTATGCATGATAGTCAAGATGTTCATAGAATGTTGCCTAGAATGTAAAGACACCACAAAGCTTCTTAATACTGTAGTATTTCAAGCAAAATCTATGTAAGTCATATTGTTTGACTTCACTGAGTTATTGTATAATAAATATTTTGTATTAATGTTGGTAGAATTACCGACAATATTGTGTCCTTTTACCTAATAAATATTTTATAGACTAATGTAGGGTGCTGTATAAAATCATTGCAAAATTTTCAAATTATGTATCAGGCCGAAATTGTCTTACAAAAATTAGACTTTAATTTTTGTAACAATTGAAGTAATTCTCTTCGAGTTGATAACTATTGCAGTGGTAACTGCTGTTGATACTGTGTGCTAGTGTCATTAGTGTGTACACCAACTATGTACACTTGCTTGTGTACACCAACTATGTACACTTGCATGTGTACACCAACTATGTACACTTGCATGTGTACACCAGCTATGTACACTTGCATGTGTACACCAGCTATGTACACTTGCATGTGTACACCAGCTATGTCACTTGCATGTGTACACCAGCTATGTACACTTGCATGTGTACACCAGCTATGTACACTTGCATGTGTACACCACAACTGTTATAAAGATAAGGAGCTTATTGCATTTATAGATATAGAAAAGGCATATATAAAGTGGCGAGGGGAGCAAAGTAGCAGACATTGCAAATCTATGGAATAGGTGGTAGGTTATTAATAGCATTATAGTTTTTATGTAGATAGTAAGACTCAGGGTAGGAGAGAAGGTATTTTGTATTTTCCAGTAAAAGTAGGCCTTAGACAGTGATGTGTGATGTTACTATGGTTGTTTAATATATATAAAAATGGGTTGTAAAAGAAGTGAACAGGAGGGTATTAAGGTGTGGTATGGGATTAAATGATAATTAAATGAATTCAGAGTTGGAAGTGTCACCATTGCTATATGCTGATGACATTGTTCTTATGGGAGATGAGATTAAGAACAAAATCTAGGCAGTGAAATAATGAATATCAGATTAGAGGGAGGGAGTATGGAGAAAGTATAATATTCAGATATTTGGCAGTGGACTTTTTCTACAGATGGGTCCATGAAAGATGAAGTGAACAATAGAAGTGACAAGAAAAAAGGTGGATGGTGCAGTGTGGAATCTTTTTAGACAAAGAACTTCATCCATGAATGCAAAAGGGGGAATATATCAGAGTATAGTGGTACTATCACTGTTGTATGGATGCGAGGTATGCGTTTCAAATGTTGCAGTGGGGGTGGAGGCTGTAGGCAGTGAAGATTTTTTGTTTTTGAAGGCAAAGTGTGGTGTGAATATTATGTAGAGACTTCGAAGCTTGGAGATTAGAAGGTGTGGTGTTATCAAAAGTATATACTATTCAGATGGCTGAGGAAACGTTGTTTAAGTGAGTTGGACATTTAGAGAAGATAGAGCCAAATAGCATGACTAGGAGGGTATATGAACCTGGACTGCAGAGAAGGAAAGGTAAGGGTTGCCTCAGAAAAGTTTGTAGGGAGGAGGTAAAGGAGGTTTTGAGTACCAGGGCCTTGGACATCCAACAGGCTTGTATGATCATGGTAGACTGGAGTGAATGGAGACAAGTAGTTTTTAGTAGTTGAAGTGTAAGCCGGGTAATATTTATGAAGGAATTCAGGGAAACTGGTTAGCTGGACTTGAGTCCAGAAGGTGGGAAGTACAGTGCCTGCACTCTGAAGGAGTGAAGATGTTGCAGTTTGGATTGGAGGGACATCTGAACTGTGATGTCAGTTTGCTTCTGGCAGTACAGTTATTGAATGAATGATGGTGAAGATGTTTTCCTCTGTCAGGTCACCCTGCCGTAGTAGGATTTAAATGTATATTATTATATTTATATATATATATATATTAATATATTTTATATATATTTTATATATTTATATATATATATTATATATATATATATATATATTATATATATATATATATATAATATATATTATATTATAGGTAATAGGTTGGTAGACAGCAAAACCCCCCAGGGAGGTTACTACCGTCCTGCCAAGTGAGTGTAAAACAAAAGCCTGTAATTGTTTTACATGATGGTAGGATTGCTGGTGTCCATTTTTATGTCTCATAAACATGCAAGGTTTCAGGTACATCTTGCTACTTCTACTTACACTTAGGTCACATACACATACATGTACAAGCATATACACCTACCATCCGACTTACGACCCGCTCGACTTACGACCGTGTTTTTTATGCCAAATTTCTGGGAAATAAACAACTATTTCTGTTGTACACAGTGTTTATCCTAAACCTTACAGTATAAAATGCAGTACTAACAACATAAAAAGTAAAACATGAAATACCAAAATAAAACAATAAAATAAAGTCATTACAAAAATGTTTTTTTGATATTTAGTAGTAAATTCGACCCTTTTTACCGGGTTCTCGGAACCGAACTCGGTCGTAAGTCGGATGGTAGGTGTATATACACACCCCTCTGGGTTTTCTCTATTTTCTTACTAGTTCTTGTTATTGTTTATTTCCTCTTATCTCCATGGGGAAGTGGAGCAGAATTCTTCCTCTGTAAGCCATGTGTGTTTTAAGAGGCGACTAAAATGCCAGGAGCAAGGGGTTAGTAACCCCTTCTCCTGTATATATTACTAAATGTAAAAGGAGACACTTTCGTTTTTTCTTTTGGGCCACCCTGCCTCTTTGAGATATGGCCGATGTGTTGAAAGAAAGATATATATATATAACACCTACCATCCAACTTACGACCACTCGACTTACGACCGTGTTTTTTATGCCAAATTTCTGGGAAATAAACAACTATTTGTGTTGTACACAGTGTTTATCCTAAACCTTACAGTATAAAATACAGTACTAACAGCATAAAAGTAAAGTAAAACACGAAACACCAAAATAAAACAATAAAATAAAGTCATTACAAAAATGTTTTGTTGATATTTAGTAGTAAAGTTCGACTTACGACCAGTTTCTCGGAACCGAACTCGGTCGTAAGTCGGATGGTAGGTGTATTATATTATTTAATCTTCATCCTTTATTATTTTCAGTATATACAGTAGAAACCAGTGTCTAGTATTTTTTGGAGCCAAATACTATACTGGACTACCTGTTTTGTTCTGCATATTTTAAGCTACTGTACCATGATTGAATCATTCACCTTTTTAATTACAGTGCATAACCAGCCAGCTGTTGACCATATTGCTGAATCTTGGAGGTTTTTGAGGGAAGCTGTGGTTGCCATTCAGGAATCAAGAAAATTAAGAGATAACCTCACTCAAGAGGATCTTTATCGCTATGTAGACAACCTCATAACACAACGGCCTCCAGCGTTGCTATATGCTGACCTTAGAGGTAAACTGTTCACTTGATCAGATATAATCTGTTACTTTCCTTACTTCATGTTTCACTTCATTCTAGATAAGAAGAGCTAGTAAAGTCCAGGGTAAAAATAAAAAAAAAATGAGTGACTATCTATTTAAGCTTTAGCAAGCCTTGCCCAATTCATAATTTAGATAACCCTCCTTCAGAGTTCAGGCACTGTCATTACTATCTCCAGAACTCAAGTTTGGTTGATCAGTTTCCTTAAATCCTTTTATCAATGTTACCATATTTACACTCCGACAGGATGTACATTACTAACCACTTGTCTCTATTCACTCCTATCTTACATGCTCATTTTAAGCCAGCTTATACTTAAACTCCTACCACTCAAAACCTCCTCTACCCTCTTCCTCTAACCATTCCTGGAGGGAACATAACATCTCCACTGCCTCTAGTCTCATTCTTGCTGTCTCATACCCATATACAAGTAATAGTACCACTAAAGTACATTTTTAAACATACCAGTCATCATCCCAGCAAATTTAACCTCAATCAGAACTAACTGGGACAAAATCTATTTGATTGTCCCAAAAGGCCATACTGATCATACAACTGACATAAGCACTAATCCTGTGGAATTAAAAACAAAAGATGGAAAACATGCCCACTCATTCATCACCTGAACTGGATCATGGAATTCCTTATTTATAAAGAAATGCAAAATACCACTAACACAAGCTCTCAGTATCCATTGGAGGAAATTTTTATGCAGGTGAAATCCCAGAGACCCCTAATAAGTGCAGACAGCTCCTTTGCATGTGGTAGTAGGTTGGTAGACAGCAACCGCCCAGGGAGGTACTACCATCCTGCCAAGTGAGTGTAAAACGAAAGCCTGTAATTGTTTTACATGATGGTAGGATTGCTGGTGTCCTTTTTTCTGTCTCATAAACATGCAAGATTTCAGGTACATCTTGCTACTTCTACTTACACTTAGGTCACACTACATATACATGTACAAGTATATATACACACCCCTCTGGGTTTTCTTCTATTTTCTTTATAGTTCTTATTCTTGTTTATTTCCTCTTATCTCCATGGGGAAGTGGAACAGAATTCTTCCTCCGTAAGCCATTCGTGTTGTAAGAGGCGACTAAAATGCCGGGAGCAAGGGGCTAGTAACCTCTTCTCCTGTATATATTACTAAATGTAAAAGGAGAAACTTTTGTTTTTCCTTTTGGGCCACCCTGCCTCGGTGGGATACAGCCGGTGTGTTGAAAGAAAAGAAAGAAAGCTCCTTTGCATAAAGAAGGCAGCAGAGCACTAGCCAAAAATTACAGGCCAGTAGACTTAACATTGCACATTATAAATCTTCAAAGAGGTAATAAGATGGCAAATTTTATTTATCAGCACACCCCAAACAAACATGAATTTAAAGCAGAAAGATCACATGTCTCAGCTACTAAACTACTGACAAAATTCTGGAGGTGTTGGAAGAAACCAAAATGTGGAAAGCACTTGAGGGTGAAATCTGTTCAGTGGCTTCACACCTGTGTGGTACCCTTCTTCAGTTTCTGGCCAGGATATTTCCCCAGACTTGAGCCCCATTGAGAACTGGGCTGTGATAGAGATTTACTATGGGAAGGCTATCGGCCTATTCCCACAGTTTTAGGACACCATTCACAAGTCATGAGTGAATCGTGAGTGGTCGTGGTTTCAGAGGGTGCCATCATACTTTAATAACAAGCACTGTATGTATATCAGGAGTAAGGTACATTCCATCGAGGTAAAGAGACCCAAAAAAGAACCACTTTAACCATCATTCGTTCAATTACTGTCTTGCCAGAAGTTTGCTGATATCACAGTTCAGATGGCCCTCTGACCTACAACATCTCCACCCCTCCTTCAGAGTGCAGGCACTATACTTCCCATTTCCAGGACTCAGGTCCAGCTAATTGGCTTCCCTGAATCCCTTTAATGTTACCTTGCTCACATTCCAACAGTATGTCAAGTCATAAAAATTGCTTGCCTCCACTCATGCCTATCAAAGTTCTCTCATGGTGCATTTCCAAGCCCTTCACTTTCAAATCACCTTTATATCCTCTCCAGTCTTTCCTGGAACAACCCATAACCCTCCTTCCCTCCACCCCAGATTTATACACCCTCCTAGTCATCACATTTTGCTCCATCCTTTAAATGCCAAACCACCTTAACATCCTCCTCTCTTCTCTAGGAATAATACTTTCACTAACCTCACACTTTTTGATCTTTTCTCTGGTACATCTCAACATTAAATTCCATTGTCCGTATCTCACACGACTCGATTTACATACAATTTCTTCTAAGGGTTTATACTCATTTTCATTACTTATTTTGCATAGGATTTTTGCATCAACAATACATACATTCACATTTATTATCATTGATTTTGGAAAGTTTTTTCTTATATAACTGTATATGTTTATATAATTTACATGAAATGTACTGTCCATAGTGCTGTGAAATGACCAGATATTGTTGCAGATTCGTAACTAGTGGTGGTGCTAGTTATACTGAAGAATCTCTACATCTTTCACTCAGTTATTGCATTGCTGCCTACCTACCACTACAAAAATGATAAATGCAGTATTTGTCTTTTTCATTTTTTCCAGAACTTACAGAGAAGCACATTAAATCACGATTGAATCAATTTTTGAGTGGTACCAGTGATCGCTTGACTTTCTTACGACAACTAAATGACTGTTGGACACATCACTGTCATCAAATGAAGATGGTTTGTAACATCTTCCTGGCTCTTGACAGAGGTTATGTACTGCAGAATGCTCAGGTTTCTTCCATATGGTAAGGAATTTTGTAGCACCTCAAAATAAAAGTACCTATACAGCTTTATGTACTTTGCAAATCTTTATAATTGTATCCAGCATGTTGTACAGTATCTCCATTATACCATGATATAAATTTCAAACTCCTCTTGTTAGCAGATTTCTACAGAATGTTATATGGTGACAAGCTTTGCTTCTGGCCAGATTCCTCTTCCACAGCTTAAATGTTGAATTTAAGTGACCAACATCGTTGTACCACATTTCATTCACAGTGTGGTATTTTTGCATGATCTGATTGTTTACGTTGTAACTATTGGTGTATGTGAACGTGCATGCATGTACTGAAATGGCCTTCTGTTCAGCAATAATTGGGATGTTTGGTATATCATTTTATGAGAGTGAGTGAGTCAGTATGTAAGTGTGAAGGACTGAGCAGTTCGGACTGTATTTGTGCATTGTGTATATGATTATTTTGTCATGCAAATAGAACAGCAGAGCTGGTCTCTTGGTGTCCCACCTTCATTGTTTAGATTGATGTATACAGTAACTAGTTTTCAGTGGTGGTAACTCATTAATTTACCACTTCTAGTTCTCATTTCTATAGCACCACTCTGTATTTTCTAGCTCTGTACCTGTATCCTTTTGGCACCTAATCTGTTTACAGTTATGACTTTTTTTTCTTCCTGCTCAGTATTATGAAATCTTAACTTTTTCCATGTTCTTTCTATGGAATTAGAAGGGGTTGTCATGCCTCCTCTTAACTAATGAGGGAGCTTTTCTTCTCTTTACAAACTTATTACTTAAGCTTGGTGTATTAGTACCAGGATGATATTTATTCTGTTACATGTCCCCTTTAAAAATTAATATACATATAAACAGTTTGTCTAGATGTTAGTAACCCTGTGACTCCATTTGATAATTGCTGTATTTTTATCTGTTTTCAAAGCATAAAACCAAATTACATGGTCTGCTCCCCCATCCCCTGAGACAAAATCACTTATTATTTCCTTTTCCAGTTTTATCTACAACTTTTTAACTAACAATCCTTGGTATTTTCTCCTGTGATACATGCCATATTAATGTAAAGAAAAATCAGGCCAAGGCAACTGTTTTACAAAATATTTTAAATTTTTTGTATAGCTGCATTTCATTCTCTGAATTATAGAGTTAATAAATTTATTGCTTAGGGCAGTTGATAACTTAGTTTTTAAAATTATTTTTTTTTTACTTGTGACCACTATTCCATTATTATTGAAACTTTTTTACTTTTTACAGGGACATGGGTCTAGAATTGTTCCGGCAACATATTTTAGAGGAAGTAGTAGTAGAAAATAGATGTGTTGATGGTTTACTAATGATGATAGAAAAAGAACGATCAGGGGAGACTATCGACAGATCACTCGTCAAATCCCTCCTTAGAATGCTCTCTTCACTGCAAGTCTATCACAAAGTTTTTGAAAACAAGTATGTCCTATTGAGAGATTATTCTTTTATAATTTATGTAAATTTATATTGTATTTTCTGCCTCTTCAATATTTCTCATTACCCTTACACCTAATTAGTCTAAAATCATTGGAGCCATCAGTTGTCTCATGTACAGTAGTCCCTAACTTTATGCAGAAGAGGGAGAAGGTGAAGGAGGTTTTAGATGCTACAGGCTTGAGCATCCAGCAAGTTTGTGCAAGCTTGTTAGATTGGAATGTAGACAGGGAGGTTTTTATAACTTGAAGTGCTGTTGAGGGTGTGAGCAAGTTAACATTTATGAAGACATTCAGGGAAACGAGTTAGCTGGCCTTGAGGCCTGGAGGTGGAAATACATTGCCTGCACTGAAGAGGGTGAGTTGGTTGTAGTTAGGATGGTCATTTGAATTGTGATGTCTGTGCAGTTCTGGCAAGACAAGCAGCAATTAAATGAGTGATGGTAAATGCATTTCTTTCCTGTTTCGGGTCACCCTTCCTTGGTGGGAGAAGACTGGGTAATTTAATAAAAATACTATGTAATTTGGTAAAGTGTATGGAGAGTTATTATTGGAAAGAATTAAGAGTAAGATGGAGAACAGGATCAGAGATGAACAAGGAGGACTTGAACATTAAAATGGTATAAAATACCGATAGATTGTTAGGTAAGACACATATGCAACAGTTAGGTGTATTTATTTCGAAACACTTCGCCCACACAGTAGGCTTCTTCAGTCGAGCACAGAAAAGTTGATAGAAGCAGAAGAGACTTGAAGACGATGTGATCAGTCCATCACCCTTAAAGTTTTGAGGTGGTCAGTCCCTCAGTCTGGAGAAGAGCATTGTTTCAAACTTTGGAACAATGCTCTTCTCCAGACTGAGGGACTGACCACCTCAAAACTTTAAGGGTGATGGACTGATTACATCGTCTTCAAGTCTCTTCTGCTTCTATCAACTTTTCTGTGCTCGACTGAAGAAGCCTACTGTGTGGGCGAAGCGTTTCGAAATAAATATACCTAACTGTTGCATATGTGTCTTACCTAACAAGGAGGACTTAGGAAAGGTAGGGGATACGTAGAAGCATAAAAGTGAATAATGATTAGATAAAATTAAGGAGGTTTTTGTTGCATTTATGGATTTTTAAAAGATACATAGTAGGGTGGATAGAGCAGTATGGCAGATGTTGCAAGTGTATAGAATAGGTGGTAGGTTACTGAAAGCAGGTAAGTTTTTTTTTTTAGGATAGTGAGGCTCAGGTTAGGGTATGTAGGAGACGAGGAGATTATTTTCCGGTGAAAGTAGGCCTCAGACAAGTATGCTACATGTCACCATGGTTGATAAACACATTTATAGATGGAATTCTAACAGGTGTGAATGCTTGGGTGTTGGGGAGAGGTGGGGGATTAAACTGTATAGAATCTAATAAGTGGGAGTTGCCACAGTTTCTTTTTGCCTATGACACTGCTTTTGGGAGATTCTGAAGAGAAGTTTTAGAGGTTGGTGGAAGAATTTGGAAGGGTATGTAAAAGGAAATTAAATGTGAACATAGGAAAGGGAAAGGTAATGAGGATAACAGATTTAGGCAATGAAAGATTCTTCTTCTTTCTTTCAACGTACCAGCCGTATCCCACTAGGCGGGGTGGCCCAAAAGGAAAAACGAAAGTTTCTCCTTTTAAATTTAGTAATATATACAGGAGAAGGAGTTACTAGCCCCTTGCTCCCGGCATTTTAGTCGCCTCTTATGACACGCATGTTTTTCGGAGGAAGAATTCTGTTCCACTTCCCCATGGAGATAAGAGGAAATAAACAAGAACAAGAACTAGAAAGAAAATAGAAGAAAACCCAGAGGGGTGTGTATATATATGCTTGTACACATATGTGTAGTGTGACCTAAGTGTAAGTAGAAGTTGCAAGACGTACCTGAAATCTTGCATGTTTATGAGACAGACAAAAGACACCAGCAATCCTATTATCATATAAAACAATTACAGGCTTTCACTTTACACTCACTTGGCAGGATGGTAGTACCTTCCTACTACCTATGTAATGGAAGATTATACATTATATTTTAAGGAGGAAGTTAATGTGTTCAGATATTTAGGAATGCACATGTTGGCAGATGGGTCTATGAAAGACAAGGTGAACCATGGAATTGATGAGGGGGTAAAAAAAAGGTGGGTGGTGCAATGAGGCATCTGTGAAGACAAACACTTCCTAGGTAAGGTTGGAGGAAAAGGGCCAAAGAGGTTTTGTATGCGAGGGGCTTGGACATCCAGCTGGAATGTGTGTGAGATAGGAGTGGATTCAATTGGTTTTTATGACGATGTGCTATTGTAGCGTGAGTAAAGTAATATGCATGAAGGGATTCAGGGAAGCAAGTTAGCTGGACTTGAGTCCTGGAGATGGGAAGTATGGTGCTTGCACTCTGAGGGGTGGGTATGGAAATAAATGATATAAAATACCGACACAATGGAAATATAAATACTTAAGCATTATAATGTAATCCTTTATTGACAACGTTTCGCCTACACAGTGGGCTTTATCAAGTCACAAACAGATCTACCTTGGTGAAACATACGTGGCTATATATAGGATAGGAATGCTGGGTCAGGTGGAGAAAGATGCACGTGACAATCTTCGGAGTAGAGTGAAGAAGTCTAAAAACTTGGGTAGCTTTTTAAAGAGATTGGATAAGTACATAAGTGGATCTTCTGCAGTGTTCCTCGATTCTTATGTTCTTATGTGGGATAGCGATGAAGAAGTTTCTTGGCGAGGAGTTCAGCTAAGTTACAGCAGCCGTTGTTCTGGTTGAAGTTGTTGGATGCACAGGTAAATGATGATTCCAGGATTCTTCTCTGGCGATAAATCTTGCATTTCTGTAGTTTATTAAATGGTTGTGTGAATTTCAGTGTTGAATACAGGCATTCCTTGGATCGTCAGATCTGCCTGCGTACTGGTGTTCTGAAATACATGTTTGGAGGTCTCTGGATGTTTCGCCGATGTATAATTTGCTGCAGTCATTACAAGGGATTGTGTATACCCCTGCAGAGGATTGAAGCTTGTCTTGTCTATCACTGGTAATGTCCTTGATGGTGGTGAATGTGGAAGTAGATACTTGGAACAAAGTTTTGGAGAAGATGTTGGAAACATGTTTGGTAATGTAGTTGGTGGGGACGACTATGTATCTCTTCTCGGCAGTGTCTTCTCTGGGTGTGTTTAATGCCCGTCTTCTGCAGTCTCTAATAAAGTGACGAGGATAGTGAAGTTTAGAAAATACTTGTTCAATAAGAGAGCATTTTTCTTCAAGGAACTCACTGCTGCAGATTCTAAGTGCACATAGGAAAAAGCCTATAATTACACAGCCCACCATGAGTGGGTATATTTGCAGTTTTGAGCTGTAGTATCGATGCCCCTCTGGCAAGACAGTGATGGAGTGAAAGATGGTGAAAGTATTTCTTCTGTTTTGGATCACCCTATGTCGGTGGGAGATGGCCCATATCTTGAAAAAAAAATATATTTATTTATTCCCAAGCATTATATGTACATATAACATTCTGAAAGCCCACAGTATCCACATTATTTGAATATGAAATGAAACTGAACCTGAAATAATTTTTCACTCTATAGGTTTTTGATGGCAACTGAACAACTTTACCTTCGTGAAGGTCAAAGACTCACACAGGATCGTGATGTTCCTCAGTACCTTCTTCATGTTGACAAGAGACTCACAGAAGAGAATAATAGGGTCCTTCATTACCTAGATATGTCGACAAAGTATGTATTATTTATAGGTTTAATGGTATATAATTTTATTAAATTAGGTTTTTCTATAAAGATAAACATTACAATATATGGTCACCCAGCAAAAGAAAAATCTTAAATAAATTTGTTCATAGATATTATTTTCATCCTCTTGTATAATCACTAAATTTTTGAACATTATTCTTATTCAACTTCATTTATAGTAATTTTCACAACTATTTTGAATAGTTTGTTACATCTTTGCTAAAACCTAGAATCAAATCAATGTAACTAATAATGTGGTTGAATGATAAAAAAGTTTTGTTAAAAAATCTTACGGTAGTTAATGTTTTTCTATTCAATTAATATGATAGTCACAAAATTGTTTAAAGCCTTCATGAGGGCTAAATAAAATAAGTTTCATTAATCAAAATTTAATGCATTGCTTTTTGAACATTTTACAGATGCATTTGATAAATACTGTCATATTTCTCTCACAGACGGCAGTTGATATATTGTGTGGAAAAGCAGCTCCTAAGTGAACACAAAACCCTACTGCTGCAAAAAGGGCTTGACTCGCTCCTTGATCAGAACCGTCGTCATGACCTTTCTCTCTTGTATAATCTTTTTGCCCGTATTAAAGGAGGCTTGGAGGATCTTTGTACCCATTTTAATGCTTATATTAAGGTAAGGTGCAGTTTACTTTTCGAAGTGATGTAAACCTCGGTTCCTACAATTATGGCTGATTAGAACCTTTTTCTTTAATTTCTTAGTACACTTTTCTTCATTTTCAGTTTTGATCAGTGAGTTGAGCTGCACATGCTGAGGTTACCTAATTTCCATTATTGCATAATTATGCCTTCTGAAAATATTTTTTGACAGAAAGGTTATTGAGGCAAATGATACATTCTCATTAGAATGGTTTATTCTTATGTTTCACAACCATCCCTTTAGCAAATTCACATTTAAGAAATCTTCTTTATAAATATTTTATGTAATTTCTTCTATAATTTGTTATCCAAAGTGTGTTAATACTTATGCTTATTTTTTCACTTGTATTGAATCGCATTTAAGCTATTCTAATACTTTCAGTCATATGGGAAAACAATTGTAGTCAACCCTGAGAAAGACAAAGGAATGGTACAGGAGCTTCTTGATTTTAAGGACAAGATGGATGGTATTGTTAGTGAATGCTTCAACTCTTCTGATAAGTTTGTTCTAGCTCTAAAAGAAGCCTTTGAACATTTCATAAATCAGAGACTTAACAAACCAGCAGAATTAATAGGTATGTTAAACATTTGTGCTGTAAGTTAACTGTAGTATATAATTTCCATTGCTCTTTATATAGAAGAATAAGGTTCTGCTTTTGCCTTACAATATTATTCGTTCCCAAAGCATTCTTTCTTTATAAAGATTAACTTCAATAACTTGATGCTGTTGACTGTTCTGTCATCTGTTTCTATTACATACTTAACTATTAATTGCCATGTAACTTTTGCAAGAAAAAAATTTGCTGCAAACAATAGGTCATCAGATAATGCAAAATAGTCTGACTAGCTTCTTAGGGTTGATTACAGTATGAGCAGTTAGTTATGTAGTATGCCTAAGTCATGTATTCTTTCAATTGTATTGAACTAGTGGCTAAATTTTACAATCAATTCAACAAAAAATGAAATGTAATAAAGTTGGTAGAATTACCGACAATATGTAAAGTAAAAGGACACAAGTGCAACTAATGTGACATTTATTGTGGCAACGTTTCGTTCTCCAGGAGCTTTATCAAGCATTACTTGGCTTGATAAAGCTCCTGGAGAGCAAAACGTTGCCACAATAAATGTCACATTAGTTGCACTTGTGTCCTTTTACTTTACAAAAAATGAAATGTAGGCACTGACAGTATTTTCATCACTAATACTGCAATATTCAGATTTACATGTGTATGTGAACCTTAAAATGTCCTGTGTTCTACACTGGGGAATATTCTTGGAATAATCTGTGTTTCTGGGGAGCAGGTGAATCTTAAAAATAAAAAAAAAATATTTTAATTTTTATTGAAGCTGTTTTATTTTAAGCTTATTTTACTTATAAAATATTATGAGACTGTATCTCCCTTATTGCTGGTACAGGTGCAGCACTAATTTTTTGGCAATGGATGGTCTGGCACCTCTTTTAGTCCAGATGAAATTACAAATGTATCTTTTTGCTAGAGTAGTTTACTGGTTTACCACAGATAGCATGTGTAGCATGTACCCACTTATAACGTTTATATTGCAGTTGTTGATGGTGATTCCTTGATTTTGTGAGATTCTTAGCATATTTTAATAACAATAACTCTAGCCATGGGTTAGCTGTTATCAAAATACCCTGTTAACCCTAGCCATGGCTAGGGTTAATAACTATACAAATAACTTATTAATAGCTATGGCTTTTGGCAAGTTAATTGAGTTGTGTATATCAAAGGGCTAGAACAATATTCTTTTGTAACAGAAGAAAGATGTATTACATTTTAATTTAATGCATGAAAAATTATATAGGGAAAGACCAAAGCATATGAAATGACTTCGATTGGATGAAATATTTAAAACAGTAGCCGAGAAGAATGTGTCATATCAGTAGGCCTTCATCTGAAAATTCTGTGGCTTCCATTTCAAATACCTCAGATGTCTTCCCTAACTTTCTAGTAGACCATGATAGGTCAGAGGTGTATTATTGAATTATGTGACCTCTGTTGGTCCAGCAAAATCTGTATTACAGCAAGGCCTTGGAACCAGGGGTTCCTGAAAATCATTGTTGTACCTGTATACGGTCTTCTTCAACATTAGTGTTTTATCCATATCTCATTTACAGCTAAGTTTGTAGATGGTAAGCTGCGTGCTGGCAATAAAGAAGCAACTGAAGATGAACTTGAGCGGCTCCTAGACAAAATTATGGTTCTTTTTAGATTTATTCATGGCAAGGATGTGTTTGAAGCTTTTTACAAGAAAGTAAGTTTAATCATAATTGCTAACATTGCTTAACCCCATCCCCATCTTACCCTGCAACTGCTACTGCCACACTTCAATCATCTACACACACCAACACAGGGCATACATCGCCAGACATGGAAGCTCAATTTCTGGAGGTCCATCAAGCACAACAACCCACAGAACCCCTTCAACCCCTAGGCTTCCCTCCCACCCAAGCACAATAACCCAAAACGAACCATTCTCCACACCCACAGTCCCCATTCTCCCTAGCACAGATACTTTCCTCCCAGTAGCCTTTCATAAAATCCACACACCCCTTAGAGCTGTAACTCAAACCCTGCAACCACATATTGGTGAGTGTAGGATCTGAAGCAGGAGAAACTGGCAGACAACCCATTTGAAAAGAACCTAGGAATATTCATTACCTCAAACCTGTACTCTTTAGTATATATAAAAATATCAGATTGGAGGGAGAGAGTGTGGAGGAGGTGAATGTATTCAGATATTTGGGAGTGGATGTGTCAGCAGATGGGTCTATGAAAGATGGGGTGAATCATAGAATTGATGAGGGGAAAAGGGTGAGTGGTGCACTTAGGAGTCTGTGGAGACAAAGAACTTTGTCCTTGGAGGCAAAGAGGGGAATGTATGAGAGTATAGTTTTACCAATGCTCTTATATGGGTGTAAAGCATGGGTGATGAATGTTGCAGCGAGGAGAAGGCTGGAGGCAGTGGAGATGTCTGTCTGAGGGCAATGTGTGGTGTGAATATAATGCAGAGAATTCGTAGTTTGGAAGTTAGGAGGAGGTGCGGGATTACCAAACTGTTGTCCAGAGGGCTGAGGAAGGGTTGTTGAGGTGGTTCGGACATGTAGAGAGAATGGAGTCGAAACAGAATGACTTCAAGAGTGTATCAGTCTGTAGTGGAAGGAAGGCGGGTAGGGGGTCGGCCTAGGAAAGGTTGGAGGGAGGGGGTAAAGGAGGTTTTATGTGCGAGGGGCTTGACTTCTAGCAGGCATGCGTGAGCGTGTTTGATAGGAGTGAATGGAGACAAATGGTTTTTAATACTTGATGTGCTGTTGGAGTGTGAGCAAAGTAACATTTATGAAGGGATTCAGGGAAACCGGCAGGCCGGACTTGAGTCCTGGAGATGGGAAGTACAGTACCTGCACTCTGAAGGAAGGGGTGTTAATGTTGCAGTTTAAAAACTGTAGTGTAAAGCACCCTTCTGGCAAGACAGTGATGGAGTGAATGATGGTGAAAGTTTTTCTTTTTTGGGCCACCCTGCCTTGGTGGGAATCGGCCAGTGTGATAATAAAAAAAAAAAAATAACAGGCTAACATTGCAAAACATTCAGGAACCTTGAGAAAAATATTCAAAATATTTTTTTTTTTTTGCTTCATACATATAACTCATTCTGAGTTCTAGTAAAGCACAAAGTGAAATTTGTGAAGTACAAAGTGTTCTTCACAAGTTGAGGGAAGTAGACTATGAAGAAAGAATAGGACACTTGGGCCTTTTCTCACTAGAAGAAGAAAGAAACAGCAGGAATATCACCACACACAAAACAGGGTAGACAACAATGTGATAGCGTGCCTAGAAATTACTCTCCTAAAGGAGCCTTTAAATATTTGGATGGGAAAATGCCATGAAAACAGTTCACACCTAAAAATACACGAACACCCTATAAATAAAATTTAGAGGAGAGCTGTAAAATGCCTATACAGTAGTACCTCGGTATATATACATCCGCTTTGGAATAAGTCCAACTTGGTATATGTCCTGTTTGGACGTTTTGCACGTGAAAATTTTTGCTTGGTATACGACCTTTGTTTGGAATACGACTCACGAGCTAGAACTTGTATGGGTCAAAATGAGTCATGACACCGTGTGCTACCCTTGATTACCTCTCTTGAGACAAAGCCATGACTGCCCACTAGCATCAGTACACAAGTGAGGCTGAGGGTTTTGTTCCCAACAAGTTTTTAATTGTGACAAAACAGGCCTGTTATGGAAGAAAATGCTTAACAGGACCTATAATACACAAGGTCCAAATAGGGAAAAGAGACAGAAAAGAGAAGGGGACTCTCCTTCCAAACAATAACAGTTCCTCCTCCTCCCTTCTCAGCACTATCCTAGTAGGCACTCTACTCTTCAGCAAAGTAAAGTGAGGTTAAATTTGCATTTATTTCATCTAATTCTTCTGTATTTATAGATGTGTTTTAGTATTAAGCAGTGTTTAAATTATTTTATGCCACCCCATCAATGTATAATATGTCAATAACAATAGGATTTATTTTTTTTCATGGGAACAGATACATTGTTTTTCCCTATATTTCTTATGGGAAAATTTGTTTGGTATACATCCTGTTTGGTATAAGTTCAAGGTCCTGGAACGGATTAAGGACGTATACCAAGGTACCAATGTAATTTCAAACTTTTAACAAAGATTATAAAAGGACACTAAATAACACTTCTTCACAAACAGAGCAGTATATTTTTGGAATGGGGTCCAAAAGGAAATAGTAGATTGGATATATGATTGGAGGGAGAGAATGTGGAGGAAGTAAATTTACTGTGTTCAGATATTCGGGAGTAGATTTGTTGGCAGATTGGTCTATAAACAACTAAGCAAAGCATAGAATATACAAGAGGAGACAAAAAAAGGGGTAATGTACCAGAGTATAGTGCGTGAGAGGCATAGATTTTGAATGTTGCAGTGAGGATGAGGCTAGAAGCAGTAGAGATGTTATGTTTGAGGGCAATTTGAGGTGTGAATATTATGCAGAGAATTCAGAATGTGGAGTTCAGGAAGGAGTGTATGTTACCAAAAGTACCAATAAGAGGGCTGAGGAGGGGTTGTTGAATTGGTCTGAGCATTTGAGTGGGGTCAGATGGCTTTTAAGACTTGGCATGCTGTTGGAGTGTGAGTAGGGTAACATTTATGAAGGGATTCAGGGAAACTGGTTAGCTGGACTTGAGTCCTGTAGGTGGGAAGTACAATGCCTGAACTCTATAGGAGGTGTGAGGCTGTTGCAGGTCAGAGGATTATCTGAACTGGAATGTTAGCCCACTTCTGGCAAGACACTGATTAAATGAATGACAGTAAAATGTGTTTCCTCTTATTTGGGTTCACCCTACCTTGGTGGGAGACAGCTAGTGAGTTAAAAAAAAAAAATTATTTAGCAATTCAAAACTGAAATTTAGACATTTTGAATACATACCAGCATAGCTTTGCTTCTGTAGCTACTAACCAGTAGTTACATAGTCATGGTGCATACATCCAGCTAAACCCTAGGTTGCCGTATGATGGCCTAGACAAGATCTCATGGCACAAGTGTGAATGAATGAGAAAATATGTATAGTATATACATTCTACTATTTGAAAGGATGGTTAGAATCCATTCTTAGTGAGCAATTTGTCTTGTAGAAAACTCCTTAAATGTCCTGGGTAAAAGACTGGTTATTACTTTCTCGATAATTAATAACCAAGCATGCAAAATACTAACCATGCATATTAAGTTCCTAGGTAGTAGGTTGGTAGACAGCAGCCGCCCAGGGAGGTACTACCGTCCTACTAAGTGAGTGTAAAATGAAAGCCTGTAATTGTTTTACATGATGGTAGGATTGCTGGTGTTTTTTCTGTCTCATAAACTTGCAAGATTTCAGGTATGTCTTGCTACTTCTACTTACACTTTAGGTCACACTACACATGCATGTACAAGAGTATATATACACACACCACTGGGTTTTCTTTTATTTTCTTACTAGTTCTTGTTTATTTCCTCTTATCTCCATGGGGAAGTGGAACAGAATTCTTCCTCCATAAGCCATGCGTGTCGTAAGAGGCGACTAAAATGCCAGGAGCAAGGGTCTGGTAACCCCTTCTCCTGTATGCATTACTATAGAAGAAGAACTTTTGTTTTTCTTTTTGGGCCACCCTGCTTCAGTGGGATACGGCCGTTTGTTTGAAAGAAAGAAATATTAAGTTAATATGTTAAATTTCTTTTGAGTTGTGTGTTGTACATACACACATACACGTATAACCTGGTAGGCAATCAATATCCAAATGACAAGATAGTCTTAAAATTGTTGTGGCACTTTTCACTCCTGAAGATAACTAATCTTGTCATATTGCTGGAAGAAAATGTTTAAATGCACTATTGATCATATTTATAGGACCTGGCCAAGCGTTTGCTAGTGGGCAAATCTGCTAGTGTAGATGCAGAGAAAAGCATGCTGAGTAAGCTAAAGCAAGAATGTGGCCCTGGATTTACAAGCAAGTTGGAAGGCATGTTTAAAGATATGGAGTTATCCAAGGACATAATGCTGGCATTTAAACAGGTGAGACTAGATTTTTTTTTTGCATTATGATGTAAATTCCCTTTTGAATAAAAACACTTCAGTTTGGTGGGTGAATGTTAGAGATGTAATTACAGTACCTATTTGTAGCTACTGAGGTAGAACTATAATTATGGTTACCTATTTTCATTAGTATTTGTTCATCATAAAGGTACAGTGGAACCGCTACTTGCGAGCGTGTCCACGTGCTCTTGATCTCGGGAATTGTATCTCATTTGTTTGTTGGGCTATCTTATTGAAACTTGGGCAATGTATGATGGAAAGATGCTTCTTAACGTAAACCAAAAATGAAAGAAATCTAAGCATAAATAATGGAGTTCACTTCTCAGCAATTAGCCACCCCTTTGCAGTAATTTCAAAAGGTTTTTATGGTTGTATTCTCGCTTTTTTTGGTCTCGTTTGATAGAATGGAAGATATATTACAGAAATAGATATGATTTTAATTGCTTTCACGACGAAAAGTACCTTGAAATAGAGCTCAACCTAGGAGAAATGGTCCATTGCTTGGCTGCTTCAGAGTAAACAAATGATGTCACTTTCCATTCCAATATGCAGTCGTGAATAGGTTGACATTATTTATACAATTATTGCAATAAGGAATAACAGTAAATCTTATATTTTTTGTGTGAATAAAAATTGCAAATTATTTATATAATAATATTAATAATAATAATATGTATAATAATATTATTTTATTTTATATAACCGGACTTGAGTCCTGGAAATGGGAAGTAAAGTGTCTGCACTCTAAAGGAGGGGTTTGGGATATTGGCAGTTTGGAGAGAGATATACATGTATATTGTGTATTTTTATACGTATATACTTCTAAGCTGTTGTATTTCTGGGCACTTCTGCAAAAACAGTGATTATGTGTGAGTGAGGTGAAAGTGTTGAATGATGATGAAAGTGTTTTCTTTTTGGGGATTTTCTTTCTCTTTGGGTCACCCTGCCTCGGTGGGAGACGGCCGACTTGTTGAAAAAAAATTAAAATAAAATACGTATTAATAATAATAGTATAATAATATAATACATGTTTATACATGTTTGTACATGTTTATAGAGGGGCAACTGATATATCGGATCATTATTTAGTTGTAGCTACAGTTAGAGTAAGAGGTAGGTGGGAAAAGAGGAAGGTGGCAACAACAAGTAAGAGGGAGGTGAAAGTGTATAAACTAAGGGAGGAGGAAGTTCAGGGGAGATATAAGCGACTGTTGGCAGAAAGGTGGGCTAGTGCAAAGATGAGTAGTGGGGGGGTTGAAGAGGGTTGGAATAGTTTTAAAAATGCAGTATTAGAATGTGGGGCAGAAGTTTGTGGTTATAGGAGGATGGGGGCAGGTGGAAAGAGGAGTGATTCGTGGAATGATGAAGTAAAGGGCGTGATAAAAGAGAAAAAGTTAGCTTATGAGAGGTTTTTACAAAGCAGAAGTGTTATAAGAAAAGCAGAGTATATGGAGAGTAAAAGAAAGGTGAAGAGAGTGCTGAGAGAGTGCAAAAGGAGAGCAGATGATAGAGTGGGAGAGGCACTGTCAGAAATTTTAATGAAAATAAGAAAAAATTTTGGAGTGAGTTAAACAAGTTAAGAAAGCCTAGGGAAAGTATGGATTTGTCAGTTAAAAACAGAGTAGGGAAGTGAGTAGATGGGAGAGGGAGGTATTAGGTAGATGGCGAGAATATTTTGAGGAACTTTTTAAATGTTGAGGAAGAAGGGAGGCGGTAATTTCATGCACTGGTCAGGGAGGTATATCCATCTTTTAGGAGTGAAGAAGAGCAGAATGTAAGTGTGGGGAGGTAACGCGAGGCATTACGTAGAATGAAAGGGGGTTAAAGCAGCTGGAACTGATGGGATCATGACAGAAATGTTAAAAGCAGGGGGATATAGTGTTGGAGTGGTTGGTACTTTTGTTTAATAAATGTATGAAAGAGGGGAAGGTACCTAGGGATTGGCGGAGAGCATGTATAATCCCTTTATATAAAGGGAAAGGGGACAAAAGAGATTGTAAAAATTATAGAGGAATAAGTTTATTGAGTATACCAGGAAAAGTGTACAGTAGGGTTATAATTGAAAGAATTAGAGGTAAAACAGAATGTAGGATTGCGGATGAGCAAGGAGGTTTCAGAGTGGGTAGGGGATGTGTAGATCAAGTGTTTACATTGAAGCATATAAGTGAACAGTATTTAGATAAAGGTAGGAAAGTTTTTATTGCATTTATGGATTTAGAAAAGGCATATGATAGAGTGGATAGGGGAGCAATGTGGCAGATGTTGCAAGTATATGGAATAGGTGGTAAGTTACTAAATGCTGTAAAGAGTTTTTATGAGGATAGTGAGGCTCAGGTTAGGGTGTGTAGAAGAGAGGGAGACTACTTTCCGGTAAAAGTAGGTCTTAGACAGGGATGTGTAATGTCACCATGGTTGTTTAATATATTTATAGATGGGGTTGTAAAAGAAGTAAATGCTAGGGTGTTCGGGAGAGGGGTGGGACTAAATTATGAGAATCAAATTCAGAATGGGAATTAACACAGTTACTTTTTGCTGATGATACTGTGCTTATGGGAGATTCTAAAGAAAAATTGCAAAGGTTAGTGGATGAGTTTGGGAATGTGTGTAAAGGTAGAAAGTTGAAAGTGAACATAGAAAAGAGTAAGGTGATGAGGGTATCAAATTATTTAGATAAAGAAAAATTGGATATCAAATTGGGGAGGAGGAGTATGGAAGAAGTGAATGTTTTCAGATACTTGGGAGTTGACGTGTCGGCGGATGGATTTATAAAGGATGAGGTTAATCATAAAATTGATGAGGGAAAAAAGGTGAGTGGTGCATTTAGGTATATGTAGAGTCAAAAAACGTTATCTATGGAGGGAAAGAAGGGAAGTAAAGAAAGTATAGTGGTACCAACACTCTTATATGGGTGTGAAGCTTGGGTGGGAAATGCAGCAGCGAGAGACGGTTGGAGGCAGTGGAGATGTCCGTTTAAGGGCAATGTGTGGTGTAAATATTATGCAGAAAATTCGGAGTGTGGAAGTTAGGAGAAGGTGTGGAGTTAATAAAAGCATTAGTCAGAGGGCAGAAGAGGGGTTGTTGAGGTGGTTTGGTCATTTAGAGAGAATGGATCAAAGTAGAATGACATGGAAAGCATATAAATCTATAGGGGAAGGAAGGCGAGGTAGGGGTCGTCCTCAAAAGGGTTGGAGAGAGGGGGTAAAGGAGGTTTTGTCGGCAAGGGGTTTGGACTTCCAGCAAGCGTGCGTGAGCGTGTTAGATAGGAGTGAATGGAGACGAATGGTACTTGGGACCTGACGATCTGTTGGAGTGTGAGCAGGGTAATATTTAGTGAAGGGATTCAGGGAAACCGGTTATTTTCATATAGTCGGACTTGAGTCCTGGAAATGGGAAGTACAATGCCTGCACTTTAAAGGAGGAGTTTGGGATATTGGCAGTTTGGAAGGATATGTTGTGTATCTTTATACGTATATGCTTCTAAACCGTTGTATTCTGAGCACCTCTGCAAAAACAGTGATTATGTGTGAGTGTGGTGAAAGTGTTGAATGATGATGAAAGCATTTTCTTTTTGGGGATTTTCTTTCTTTTTTGGGTCACCCTGCCTCGGTGGGAGACGGCCGACTTGTTAAAAAAAATAAAAATAATATTTTTTTATTTTTTTATTATCACACTGGCCGATTCCCACCAAGGCAGGGTGGCCCGAAAAAGAAAAACTTTCACCATCATTCACTCCATCACGGTCTTGCCAGAAGGGTGCTTTACACTACAGTTTTTAAACTGCAACATTAACACCCCTCCTTCAGAGTGCAGGCACTGTACTTCCCATCTCCAGGACTCAAGTCCGGCCTGCCGGTTTCCCTGAACCCCTTCATAAATGTTACTTTGCTCACACTCCAACAGCACTTCAAGTATTAAAAACCATTCGTCTCCATTCACTCCTATCAAACACGCTCACGCACGCCTGCTGAAGTCCAAGCCCCTCGCACACAAAACCTCCTTTACCCCCTCCCTCCAACCTTTCCTAGGCCGACCCCTACCCCGCCTTCCTTCCACTACAGACTGATACACTCTTGAAGTCATTCTGTTTCGCTCCATTCTCTCTACATGTCCGAACCACCTCAACAACCCTTCCTCAGCCCTCTGGACAACAGTTTTGGTAATCCCGCACGTCCTCCTAACTTCCAAACTACGAATTCTCTGCATTATATTCACACCACACATTGCCCTCAGACATGACATCTCCACTGCCTCCAGCCTTCTCCTCGCTGCAACATTCATCACCCATGCTTCACACCCATATAAGAGTGTTGGTAAAACTATACTCTCATACATTCCCCTCTTTGCCTCCAAGACAAAGTTCTTTGTCTCCACAGACTCCTAAGTGCACCACTCACCCTTTTGCCCTCATCAATTCTATGATTCACCTCATCCTTCATAGACCCATCCGCTGACACGTCCACTCCCAAATATCTGAATACATTCACCTCCTCCATACTCTCTCCCTCCAATCTGATATCCAATCTTTCATCACCTAATATTTTTGTTATCCTCATAACCTTACTCTTTCCTGTATTCACTTTTAATTTTCTTCTTTTGCACACCCTACCAAATTCATCCACCAATCTCTGCAACTTCTCTTCAGAATCTCCCAAGAGCACAGTGTCATCAGCAAAGAGCAACTGTGACAACTCCCACTTTGTGTGATTCTTTATCTTTTAACTCCACGCCTCTTGTCAAGACCCTCGCATTTACTTCTCTTACAACCCCATCTATAAGTATATTAAACAACCACGGTGAGATCACACATCCTTGTCTAAGGCCTACTTTTACTGGGAAATAATTTCCCTCTTTCTTACATACTCTAACTTGAGCCTCACTATCCTCGTAAAAACTCTTCACTGCTTTCAGTAACCTACCTCCTACACCATACACCTGCAACATCTGCCACATTGCCCCCCTATCCACCCTGTCATACGCCTTTTCCAAATCCATAAATGCCACAAAGACCTCTTTAGCCTTATCTAAATACTGTTCACTTATATGTTTCACTGTAAACACCTGGTCCACATACCCCCTACCTTTCCTAAAGCCTCCTTGTTCATCTGCTATCCTATTCTCCGTGTTAATTTTAATTCTTTCAATAATAACTCTACCATACACTTTACCAGGTATACTCAACAGACTTCTTTCTTCTTTCAACACACCGGCCGTATCCCACCGAGGCGGGGTGGCCCAAAAGGAAAAACGAAAGTTTCTCCTTTTACATTTAGTATATATATACAGGAGAAGAGGTTACTAGCCCCTTGCTCCCGGCATTTTAGTTGCCTCTTACAACACGCATGGCTTACGGAGGAAGAATTCTGTTCCACTTCCCCATGGAGATAAGAGGAAATAAACAAGAATAAGAACTAGAAAGAAAATAGAAGAAAACCCAGAGGGGTGTGTATATATGTGCTTGTACATGTATGTGTAGTGTGACCTAAGTGTAAGTAGAAGTAGCAAGACGTACCTGAAATCTTGCATGTTCATGAGACAGAAAAAAGGACACCAGCAATCCTACCATCATGTAAAACAACTCAACAGACTTATCCCCCTATAATTTTTGCACTCTCTTTTGTCCCCTTTGCCTTTATACAAAGGAACTATGCATGCTCTCTGCCAATCCCTAGGTACCTTACCCTCTTCCATACATTTATGAAATAATTGCACCAACCACTCCAAAACTATATCCCCACCTGCTTTTAACATTTCTGTCTTTATCCCATTAATCCCGGCTGCCTTACCCCCTTTCATTTTACCTACTGCCTCACGAACTTCCCCCACACTCACAACTCGCTCTTCCTCACTCCTACAAGATGTTATTCCTCCTTGCCCTATACACGAAATCACAGCTTCCCTATCTTCATCAACATTTAACAATTCCTCGAAATATTCCCTCCATCTTCCCAATACCTCTAACTCTCCATTTAATAACTCTCCTCTCCTATTTTTAACTGACAAATCCATTTGTTCTCTAGGCTTCCTTAACTTGTTAATCTCACTCCAAAACTTTTTCTTATTTTCAACAAAATTTGTTGATAACATCTCACCCACTCTCTCATTTGCTCTCTTTTTACATTGCTTCACCACTCTCTTAACCTCTCTCTTTTTCTCCATATACTCTTCCCTCCTTGCATCACTTCTACTTTGTAAAAACTTCTCATATGCTAACTTTTTCTCCCTTGCTACTCTCTTTACATCATCATTCCACCAATCGCTCCTCTTCCCTCCCGCACCCACTTTCCTGTAACCACAAACTTCTGCTGAACACTCTAACACTACATTTTTAAACCTACCCCATACCTCTTCGACCCCATTGCCTATGCTCTCATTAGCCCATCTATCCTCCAATAGCTGTTTATATCTTTCCCTAACTGCCTCCTCTTTTAGTTTATAATAATAATAATAATATAATATGTATAATATTAATACATATATAATAATAATGTACTACATATAATAATTATAATAATAGACAGCTTCAAAATTATAATAATAGACAGCTTCAATGTGGTAAACATTGCCATCACTAGATGGCAATGTTTACCACAACAAAGAGGGAGCGGTTGTGGCCGCCTCCACCTGTTACATGACATACTGTATTTTATTCATTCTAGAGTATTTATCATGTTTCTATGTTATTCATATTGTTTGTTATGTCATATTAGATGAACTGTGATATATAAATAATCCGTATAGATGATATTAGCGAAATTATTCATGAAGTATTTTGCTCGGTCTCCAGACAAACTCTCGTCCACCTCCGACACCGCCCATACCACCACATGAATGACATATTTTATTCATTTAGTGTATATATCAGGTTTCTGTGTTATTTATATTGTTTATTATGTCATGTTAGATGAAGTGAGATAAATAAACCAAAGAGTTGATATTAGCAAAATTATGGAAGTACAGAATTCCACTGGAACGGATTAATTGCATTTCAATTAATTTAAATGAGGAAAATTGACTCTGCAAACGAGCAAATCCAGTTGCGAAGCAAGGTCATGGAACGGATTAAACTCGCAAGTAGAGGTTCCACTGTATTTAAAATTTCCAATGGATGCAATTAGCAAGTATTATCTCCTGTTTTAAATTAATTCCATATTCTACCTTATTATTTGTGAAGAATATTTCCCAGTATCCCTCTAGCTCTGTTTTTCTTAATTTATATATGTGGCCCCTTGTTATCTGTGTTGGAGGTACTAAAAGCACTTCTTTATTCTTTTATATCTTGTTATAACTTTGGGTCCACATGAATACATTATACTATTAGTAATGATTTGTTGGCAATATGCAAAGATTAGTTTCACATTTTTTTGTCTTTCCCTAGAATGTGGAGAATTTTACTCAGTTGTACACTCGTGTAATATAATTTCTTTTTTTAACTTATTGTGTTTTAATTAAATTTTATGAATGTTTTGCTACCCCATCATAGTAATTAATGTTTTTCTGTCATCAGAATTCTCAGCTGGGCAGCACGGCCATGGAGCTTAATGTGAACATTTTAACAATGGGTTATTGGCCAAATTACCCAGTAATGGAAGTGAGCATGCCACCAGAGATGGTTAATTATCAACAGATCTTCACAAAATTCTACCTAGCTAAACATAGTAACAGAAAATTGCAGGTTTGTGTAAAATATTTTTTTTTTCTCTCCTTGGGGCCATTTCTTTGTAATCAGTATCCAGTTGCTTGACTATGAGCAAGTTTAGGGTTTTGGCTTTGTGTGTCAGTATAAAACTACAGATATAATCTGAAAGAAAATTCAAAGCAAAAAAGTACAGTTAAATCAAAATAAGGTTAATTCTTTTTAAAAGGTTAATTCATTTTTAAAACCGGGATTTTACTTTGTTATCAGATTGATACGCTTGAAAAAATTATCTTTACCTGTGCCACTATACAAAGTGCCCCAGAAGTGATACCAAAGTTTCCTTTTAAATTTAAATAAACTGTGTGTAAAGGAGCAAGTGAAAGTGGAACACGAAAGTTGATGAAGTATCAAATTTTAGTAATGAATTATACAAAGTGGGGAGAGGTAGAAGGAAAAGTGAAATTTTAGAATGGAAGAGTTCAAGATGTTTTAGAGATATTAACATAATTTGATAAAGGGAAAAAATGATGTCATAATTGGGAGGAATTTTAGGAAAAAGAAGGAATTTTTATGAAATTTTGGGATAGTGGACCCGCATAAGATTTATCGAAGTGAGGACCAAATTAATGTAAGGAAAAAAGGTGCGTGTTGCATGAGGTATATTGTTGAGGCACAAAATATTTATTTTTATGGAAGTCAAAGACGAAATTAGTGAAAACGTTATATGTAGTACCAACACTCTTCTATGGGTGTGAAGCTTGGGTGGTAAATGCAGCAGTGAGGAGACGGTTGGAGGCAGTGGAGATGTCCTGTTTAAGGGCAATGTGTGGTGTAAATATTATGCAGAAAATTCGGAGTGTGGAAATTAGGAAAAGGTGTGGAGTTAATAAAAGTATTAGTCAGAGGGATGAAGAGGGTTTGTTGAGGTGGTTTGGTCATTTAGAGAGAATGGATCAAAGTAGAATGACATGGAGAGCATATAAATCTGTAGGGGAAGGAAGGCGGGGTAGGGGTTGTCCTCGAAAAGGTTTCCACTTTGAATTTTTATTCTCACAAAAAATAGAAGATTTACTGTTATGGAGACTACTGCATTAGTGTAGAAATGGTATAAATAATATCAGTGCAGCTTGTGAAAGAATATTAGACTCACCAGTTGACATGTATTGGACGTGTAGCATGATTTGTTTACTTTTGAACTTTGGTAAAAATCAAACATTTCTGCTACTTTGAGCTCAATTTCAAGGTACTTTTCATTGTAAAACCAGTCAAAATCATCTCAATTTCTGTAATATGTCTTCCATTCTATAAAATGAGACCAGGAAAACTAGAATACAACAATAAATACCATATGAAAATACGTACAGTGCAAAGTTGCTGTTTTAATTCAAAAACACGGTCAAAGTTTTTTTTTTCTCATTACGCACTGTGTGCTGCAGGATTTTTTTTATACTGCACACACTGACCATCGCAGACACTGCAAGGCTCCAGGCGGACATCAACCAAATCTTTCAGTGGGCTGCAGAAAACAATATGTAGTTCAACGATGGGAAATTTCAATTACTCAGATATGGTAAACACGAGGAAATTAAATCTTTATCAGAGTACAAAACAAATTCTGGCCACAAAATAGAGCGAAACACCAACGTCAAAGACCTGGGAGTGATCATGTCGGAGGATCTCACCTTCAAAGACCATAACATTGTATCAATCGCAGCTGCTAGAAAAATGACAGGATGGATAATGAGAACCTTCAAAACTAGGGAGGCCAAGCCCATGATGACACTCTTCAGGTCACTTGTTCTATCTAGGCTGGAATATTGCTGCACACTAACATCACCTTTCAAGGCAGGTGAAATTGCTGACCTAGAAAATGTACAGAGAACCTTCACGGCACGCATAACGGAGAAAAAACACCTCAATTACTGGGAGTGCTTGAGGTTCCTGAACCTGTATTCCCTGGAACGCAGGCGGGAGAGATACATGATTATATACACCTGGAAAATCCTAGAGGGACTAGTACCGAACTTGCACACGAAAATCACTCACTACAAAAGCAAAAGACTTGGCAAACGATGCAACATCCCCCCAATGAAAAGCAGGGGTGTCACTAGCACGTTAAGAGACCATACAATAAGTGTCAGGGGCCCGAGACTGTTCAACTGCCTCCCAGCATACATAAGGGGGATTACCAATAGACCCCAATAGCACCTAAAGTCGGTACCTGACCAGCCTCGTATGTTGGTTTGCGTGCAGCCAGCAGTAACAGCCTGGTTAATCAGGCTCTGATCCACCAGGAGGCCTGGTCACAGACCGGGCCACGGGGGCGTTGACCCCGAAACTCTTCAGGTAAACTCCAGGTAATAGACCCATTCTTTCATATGTAGGCCTACCAGCTTTCTCTCACTAGATTTGAGGGCGCTAGAATTTAAGCATACTAGTACGTCAAAAACCCTGGTGCGTAAGCCGTACTAGTGCGTCCGAAACCCTGAAAGGGTTAAACACGACATCTCCGCTGCCTCTAGCCACCTCCTTGCTGCAGCATTTACAACCCTTGCTTCACACCCATATGAGTGTTGGTACCACTATACTCTTGTACATTCCCTTCTTTGCCTCCATGGATAATGTTCTTTGTCTCCGCAGATACCTCAATGCACCACTCTTCTTTTTTTCTTTTGTCAATTCTACGATTTACTTCATCCTTCATAAACCTATCCCCCTTCCCCGTATAGCCTACTAAAAAGAAAAAGAAGGAAATTGTAAGTATTTTCTTTATATTTTGATTGTTTATACCAAAAGTTCATTGGAAATATTTTCTTAATCCTTTTCAGTGGCAACCAACACTAGGCCACTGTGTTTTGAAAGCAGCATTTACTCAGGGTGCTAAGGAACTCCAGGTATCATTGTTTCAAGCTCTTGTGCTACTACTGTTTAATAAAGCAGACACAATCTCATTAGCAGATATTGCAACAGGAACAAATATTGAGGTAAGTTTACTGGAGATTGGAAGTCTTTTAATTTGCTGTCTAATAAAAAAATGCAAATGGAAATTACATACTGTATTGTGAATGTAACAATTGCTGTACAATTTCTCCCACTTATTCTTACATTCACAATGGAATTTTACTTTAAATTGACTGGAATATAATGTCATGTGAAAAAATGCTGCCTATCACTAAAATTGGTACTAGAAATTCTGTCAAGGGTGCTCTGAAGTCAACAGTTATGTCTGTCACATTCCTTGGATTCAGCGAGAGCTCGTTAGAATTATATTTTTATTAATCTTGCAAAGACTACATGCTTGCCTCAAGGCTGCAAGATTGGCAGTTTGTAATCTGCACAGTTCTTCCTTTCTTGGAATGAGCTTTTAGACTAACATTTTATACATCAAATTTTATTATTCCTTTCAATAATATAGTTTTATAAATAAGACTACATATTAAGTGAAGGTTGTGCTTGTATTTGCTAACCACTTTAATTCACAGCATGTCTTCATGATGTTCCATTTCTTTGGCGTAAGCCATTGAAATGTTATAAGACATTTAACTGCAATTATTGGTTCCATACTCTTGCATAGTTTACCTCTTCCCGTTCGACTCGCCTTACCGTACTACAATATTATACTTTGTCAAATATTTTTCGTTAGTCACAAATTCCTTTGATGTATCTTAAATTTAATATATTGATTTCAGCCCTCACTATACTATTCTTTACTATATTCAGAATTTCTACTGAACTTAACAAGCCGTGCTAGCTGGCACCCTATCTTTACCTTCTAATGGTCAGGGCTTAAATCATCTTTAGGTCTTCACAGTATTCTTATTTTATGCTCTTTCCATTTGTTTATTTCCAGCACATACTTTTCATTTTCACTAAGTGATGCATTAATTTATTTAAAGGTTGCATGTGGAATATATCTTTAACTTAAACACACGAGTAAAAAATACAGAACATCATGACTCATGAAATCGTAATGACACGATTGCAAACAAACCATACCACGGGCGGGTTTGAACCCGCGGTCAGTCTCAAAACTCCAGACCGTCGTGTTAGCCACTGGAGCAGTGGCTAATGCGACGATCTGGATTTTGAGACTCCCCTGACCGCGGGTTCAAACCCGCCCGTGATATGTTTTTTTTTACAGAACATCATACTAAATTTATGCTGGATCCCCCAAAAAGTGTTCCATGTTTCTTTTTTAACTTCAGGATGGGAATTCGTGACTATTGCAGTCTTTAGACATGGGCAAAAAGATTTCATTAAAACTCAGCGAGTAAAGATGAAAGATGGGGTTTTTTATAACAAACTCATAACCACCCTTTTAATCAGAATTAACAATTAATTGAAGGAATGTAAGAAATATAGTTTGGAGCTCGAACATTGTTAATATAGGATGTAAGCTTGGTGGTAAATGACACGAGAACTGAGAGGAGAGATCACTTTTAAGCAATTGAGGTAGAAATATAAGGGCGAAAAATCGGAGTGTGGAAATTAGGAGAAGGTGTTGGTGTTCCCAAAAAGGTTAGTCAGAAAAAGAGGGGTTTTGAGGGAGACTTGGCATTTAGAGAGAAATGGATCAAAGTTGATTGCATGTAAGTATATAATTCTATAGGATATTTAAGGCGGTGAAGAGCAGTCCCGACAGGTTGGAGGAGGGGTTAAGGACTTTATGTTTGGAAAGGCTTGTCCGAATCATGGGGTTAGATAGGAAGTTATTGCCATACAATTACTGTTTACAACCAACTGAATTTCCTGTCGAGTGTATTGCATTGGTATTTTTTATAAGGATTACAGGGAAAGTATTTTCATTTATTGGACTTGATTCCTGATGTGAATAAACTACTTTACAAATCAGGTTTTGGATAATTGGCAGGTTTTTGGAGGGAATGTTGTGTATTCTTAATTGTTTTTGAGTTGTGATTCTGAGCTTAAAACAGTGATTTTTGGATGAAAGGAATTATGTGAGTATTTTTTTTGGGGATTTTATTTTTTTTATGTTTTTTGTTCACACCTATGCTTAGAGAAAAGGCCGATATTTTTTTTTGTAAAATAAAAAAAAAACATTATTTGATATCAGACTTCAAAATAAATTGACAAGCATCCAGTGCCGGTCCTGGGCCTGATTCAAGGAATTCTGCAATTATAGAGAGATTTGAAATACCACTAACACAGACTTTCAGTGCATAGTGTAAGGGTTTATATTCATTAGTACTATTTTCATGGAAAGTGCTAAATGTTTAGGGGTGTACAGTGCTTGGGGAATAGGCAACAATCAGATTCAATCCAAAGAAACAGAGGCTAGCCTCAATTCCTTGGTTCAAAGAATTTTACCAGTGTCAAAGAACCCTTTTAATTCATTTAACCCTTTTAGGGTCCGTGCCGTAGATCTACGGCTTTACGTTCAGGGTCCAAACTGTAGATCTACACCATGAGCTCAGCTCACTCTGATAAACTGTGAGTGTTAAATTTGGGCCTAGATATGAGAGAATACATCTATGTGGTATGTGTGCACCACATAAAACAAATCCTGCAGCACAGTGTATAATGAGAAAAAAAACTGAGACCGTGATTTTCGATTAAAACCGACTTTGCAGTGTTTTTCGTATGTTTTTTATAGTTGTATTTGTGATTCCTTGGTCTCATTTGATAGAATGGAAGACATATTATAGAAATAGAGATGATTTTGATTGGTTTTAGCACTGGAAATGGCTTAAAACTGAGCTCAAAGTAGCAGAAATGTTAAATTTTTGCCGATGTTCAAGAGTAAACAAACGACCTCACACGTCTAATACACGCCAGCTGGTGGGTCTAATATACATTCACAAATGTGGTGATGATATTTATACAATTATAACAATACTGCATAACAGTAAATCTTCATTTTTTGGTTTGAATAAAAATTCATTATGTGAATAAAAAATCAAAATGGAATTCATTTGTAAAGCCTCAAAACATAAGTAATGAACAGAGAAAATGTTAGTTTAGTTCCTGGAATACCTACATTGTTTATTCTGGACCCTATTTTGAAATTGGAATATTTTGAGCTGTTAAATTGGCCAAATTACCAATTTCCGATCACTTTATTTTGTAGTTGAAACAGTTGACTTGGAATTTTCTTGTGCCCAATTGATAGAATAGAAGTAATACTAGTGAAATAGCTAAGAATTTGGTCGACTGAAATAATGTAATTGGCTTAAAATGGGAGTCAAAGTCGGCAAAATTGCCGATTTGTAAATGTCACTGAGACATCAAAATTCGTGAGAGCATAATTTCGTCGATTTTCTATCAAATTTCGTACTTTTTGTTTTATTACCTTCAGAAAAAGATTCTCTACCATTTCATAAGAAAAAATAACAAAATTTTTTTTTTTTTAATTCTTGGACCCTAGTGTGCATTTTGAAATTTGGCCTCTGGACCCCTGAAAGGGTTAAGATACCAGAGGCCCTAATTCCTCTGGGAGGGCATTTGGCTGATTGTGGCATCTCATTATTGGTTATATTTCATGAGTTTAACTACTGTATTTAAAGTGAAGTTGAATACATGGAGAGGTGAAAAGAAGAGTTCGTTTATAAATGAAAATCTGTAGGTAGAATTGTCATTTTAATTTATAATGTGGTAGTTTGTGGAATTCATTCCATCCACATAATTTACATTGTCTTTAAAAATAGACATTGTCAATGCATTCTACCGATATTTGTACCCAAGACTCATTACTTACTTGTTTTAACCTTGGACAACTGATAATTTATATATGTTAATGGTACCAGTATCCTAAGTGATATGTTAACTTCATGAAAGTTACATGCTCACACTCCAACAGCAGATTCCTTAAAAACTTGTTTCCATTCACTCCTGTCAAATGGCTGCTGGATACTCAAGCCCTTAAAACTCAAAGCCTCTTGTACCTCCTTCCTCCAGCCATTCCTAGGATGGCCCTCTTTCCTTTTACCTTCCACCCCAGGTTTATACACCCTCTTTGTCAACCTATTCCCGTTCATCCTTTCTGCATGCCCAAACTACCTCAGCAACCACTCTTCAGCTCTGGATCATACTCTTGGTCACCCCATGTTGCCTTTTAATTTCTATGCATTTGACTTCTCTGCATGATATTCAATTTGCTCTCTTGTATGACATTTACACTTCCTCTAATCTTTTCAGAAGTCTGCTGACATCTTAATCAGGTTACCCTCCTATTGTAACATCCCTGCCCCTCCTTCACAGTGCAGGCACTGCCCTTCCCATTAAGATAATGGACTAGAATTCTGTACCCCCATAAACCGTGCATGTTGTAAAAGGTGGCTAAAATGCCCCAAGCAAAGTACTTGTAACCCCTTCTTCTGTATTCAGTTTATAAAAAGTCAGAGGAAAATTGATATGTATTTTCACTAAATTTGATATATAGGAACAGAAGTTACAGAAGTTTTTCACATTTTTTCTTTCACCATATATTCATTGTTGTAGTGACATCTAAACTGTTATATCTGGGTCCCTCTGTAAAGACAGTGATATTGTGTGAATGTACGGTGAAAGTGTTTCTTTTTTGGGTCACCCTGCCTCGGTGGGAGATGCCCGTTGTGTTAAAAAAAAAAAATTGAAAGTGTCATACAAAATCAAGGTTTTTAAGAATGAAAAAATTCAGTTGATTTATGATTGGAATGTACATATTGCAGGTACACCTGCATGGGAATAATTTAAATGCTAGTTTATATATACTTCTGCAAATGGGGTAAAATATTAGCAGTAAATTATGACTTCTTTACCCCTTCTTCCTTGGAATGAATCTGATTGCCTTTCATTCTCCAAGTGCTGTATGATACCTTTGGATTTAGCACCCCCCAACCCCCCTTTCCCTCCACCCCCATGAATGTTATAATTTACCTACAGATACATATCCTTTTGAAGCAGTGTGTAAAGTGGTTCAGTTTTTAAATTAATAAGCCTATATGTTTTAATTTTTTTTTTTCAGCCTGCTGACCTGAAAAAGAGGATAGAATCTCTCATTGATCGTGACTACATGGAGCGAGATAAGGACAACCCTAATACTTACAACTATGTGGCATAATTATCATCATATTGTTTACTC